AAGCCTTCACAGAGGGGATACAAAAGCAAAGGAATGATGTGATTGGCTACAGCTCAGTGTTTGCCTTATTCTGATGTGATCCACCCCCTAGTCAGAGGTTAGCAGGCTGTTTCTGATTGGCTCAGTTTAAAGTCTGTTTTACATTGATTGGTTTGCTTATACCGGAACCTGTCACTGGAACTGGCTCAGCATAATGGCCTTCCAGACCCCCTCTCCCCAAAAACTACTCCATCTCTATAAAAAAGGTATAAAGCATGTAATCAACTGCATTTTTGGAAACTTCCTTGAATGTAGGGTTTCTAAGAGTGGGTTCAGTCAGAAGTTTTTTATTGGTACTTTTGGGTGCAAGCAATTAATGCACTGTATAGTTTTACAAATAAACATTGAGCCCTGAACTACTATATTAGAAATGAATGTTTGAATGAGAAGAATGGAATTTTTTTAAATTAATAGCTATATTCAAGACAAACATGGATGATTAGATGAGGTTGAGGTCAGCATCAGTTCCGTTGCAAGCTTGGGTTTGCATGGCTGGAAATGCTAAGCACTCTGTCCACTTTGTGGGCCCTGGGATGGGAGAGAGCCAGGGTAGCCAGCCGTGTCATTGAATTCTCGGAACTTCTTCCATGCTGCATGCTGAAAATCACATAGTAATAAATCCTCTCTTACTGGCATATCAGCTAATGATCTGATTAGGACATCCTTAAGTTTTGTTCAAAGCAAAGTTCTAATGCACAGCTAGTTTGCCACAGAATTTATTTTGCTTTCGCCATCCCTATCAAATTTATCTTTTGAAAACTCATTTAAAATGTTAAATTTTTTTCACTTAATAATCCCATGAGTTAATGTGCTGTATCCAGAAAGGGTGGGGAAAGTAAAATATTATTAGTTTTACCCTACCTTGGCTTATGGTATACTTTATTTTATTTTTAGCACTAGAGGTTGACCCTCTGGTCTTCACATTAAGCTATTACCACCCCTTTATATTTTTTTATTTTGAGACGGGCTCTTTCCAAGTTGCCCAGGTCAGGTTCAAACTCATGATTAGGGGGAAAGGGAGGAAAAAACTGCATCTTCTTTGCTTTCTGTATAGTCCCCCCAGACCTGTTTCGAGGCCTGCTAAAGTCTAGCTTTCTGCCTATCACTTTCCCTCTCAAGAGTTGGGACCCTAAAATTACTTAAGGCATTGGACACTGCATCTTCCTGGCTGCTTCCTTCTGAGAGGGGACCCGAGGGAGGAAGTTAGGTCCCCCTTATTGCTGACATTCAGCCCAGGAGGGTTTGTTTAAGGGGTCTGGTATAGCTAGATTAGAAGGATGCAGGATCATCTGAAAGTGGATAAACTATAAACAGGAAGAAATAAAGCCTTCATATCCAGGGCAAACCCAAGATGCATTGACCAATCCAGCCAGGAGGTGGTGGGACCATAAATGAGAACCACAAAGCCATCGGGTATCATTTGAGGTAGCCCAATATATATTCTAGGCCTTAAAAACCAATCAGCAAGTAGCCAATCCTCTGCTTATAAGATGACAATATGCTGACGTTGTTCAAATATTTGGCAGTTTTTGACCAGGCATAATATGAATGATTGCATCGTTCCCAGCACAGAGGAGGCATCTGACTAAGGCACCCTGTAGTGGGAGGGAGCCGTATATAGTCATCCCATATTTGGACACAACCATCTAGGTAGTGACGGATATTATTTCCAACCATAGCAAGGATTGGACTTTTTGAATGAAGAAGCTTTACATATCTCCAAAGGATGGCATTAGTTTCATTCTTTGAAAAGTTTTTCCCATGTCCCTTTGGGTCTAAGATCCAATTACTAGGCCACTAGTATACATCCAAATGGGTGATGATATGTAATACTGTAGGCTTTTCTCATCTCTCCTATATATAAGATTATAATTTGTTCCAGTCATCATTGTCAAGGGGTAAGACCCACCATGGCAATCCTAATGTGCTAGAAGTGGGGAGCACACCTCATACCCAACATGTGTTACCTTCTGTGTCTTGGGCATACTGCTGAGCCAAATGAGAAAGGAATTTGATTTTCTCACTATGGCAGATTAGGGACAAAAAGCCCGTTAGAAGCAAAAGATAAAATATAGTTAAGAAGATGGCAGCTGACCTCCTTCAGATTAGATTTACAAGATCTTTTTTATAAGACTCATCAGGTGAGCCTGTGTTCCCTGGAAGCACCAGTGAGCAGATATTTAATTGTAATAAAGGTTCCAATTAGGAGACGAATACTCAGGGTGCGTGCAGCCCTCTGGTGGAAGGTGGTGAGGCATGAACTAAAGTGTGTTGGAACACGTATTTCCTGTCTCCCGTGGTGCTGGGTTCTCTCAGGTGCCTATCTGGAAAAGCTTCTCTGTGTCTTACAAAGATAAAAATAATAAAATAAAATAAAAACTAGTAGGTATTTAAACCCTCAGCAAAGAGACAACTGGGGTAAAATCAATTTACCAGCCAGGCTGGTATTGCCTGTGCCTTTGTGCAGGAGCATTATTGAGAATGCATGAAGCTTGTAAGACTTGGTGGACAGTCTTGTATAGCCCTTTGCAATGATAGAATCATTATCAGCATTGCCAGGAAAGACAACTGTTGTCAGTACTGTGGGGTGCTAGGTGAGCCAGAGATAATTTGGGTCCCCCATCATAAGCCTCAGCCCCTGTAGTTAGTCAGGGCTTTTCTGATTCTCTGGGTCTGGCTCGAAGTAACATCCAGAACTCCACCCGAAACTCTAAGCAAGGTGTTGGAAGATGTCTGTATTGTTTCTCAGGATCACCTCAAAAGCTGGCCGAATCCCGTTTGGTTTGCTTTAGGTCCTGCGGAGAGAAAGGTTGCTGAGCCATGGAACTTCATAGATCACTGACATCTCTGAGGACCCAGTGAAGGGAGCATTGGCGTGGGTGATCGTCTGTGAGCCTGTGGCTCTGAAATCCTAGGGTCATACAGGAGGATGCGGTTGCTGCTTCATAGAGCTTTATTCTGTGTGTGTGTGTGTGTGTGTGTGTGTGTGTGTGTGTGTGTGTGTTTGAAGTAAATCGGAATCCATTTTGGTCTGGCCTGATCACTCACTTGATTCCTATGGGCACCTGGCATGGATTGGATTGGGCCTAGGGGGCCCTAGTAGTCATGCGGCCTGGAACTTACTTTTTCCTGATGGGGACACACAGGCCTGACCAGGGACTTGTCTAAAGTAGTTGGGAAGTAGCAGCAGAGCCAGGACTATGTCATTCTCCAGGCTCCAGGCTCAGCATCTTTCCCTTACTCTGCAGCCCTGGGCCCTGCCAGGTGTGTAGGGTCGGGGGTCAAAGACACCAGTCCATGGGGACCTGGGCCAGTAGGCCTCCCTCCCCCGCTCCCGCCTTCTGTGCTAGCTGCCCCTTTGCATTTCAAGAGAGACAGGGCAGGAGGATGGCCTGGTGGACCTCATTCCTTACTGGTCATCTGTCCTAAGGAGGAGACCCCAGTCAACTCTGACTAGTGTAGGGCTGCTTACTCATTGTCTCCTCCAAGAATGGGGAGCCCCATGAGAGCAGGAACTGTGGTCTCCATCACTGCTGACTCCTAGGGCCTGGCCCACACTTCCCAAGGGAGGGGATGCCCACAGAGCAGAGGGGACTGGCAGAGATACATCCTGGCAAGGAGGATTGATATTTGGCTAAGCAGAACTTTCTTTAGCATAGTAGTGGAATAACGCTACTGAGCATATATCAGGGACAAGGTATATCAGGGGCTTAAATGCTCAGTGTGCTTTGACCAGAAATTCCACTTCTGAGAGCTTATCCCAAGAGACTAAGCCATATAAATGCATAAGTAAGCCTCGAGGATATTCAGTTACAGCACTGTTTTTCTTTTGGGTTTTTGTGTTTTGCTTTCCTTAGTGGTGCTGAAGATTGAACCCAGGGCTTCACACATGCCAGGCAAGTACTGAACCACAGAGATATGTCCTCAGTGTTTTCTTTTCCTTCCTACACGGGGTCTTACTGAGTCGTTTTGTAGGGCCGAGCTGAAATTTATGAACCTCCTGCCTCCGCCTCCCAAGTAGCTGAGCTATCAGGTGTGCAGCACTGTACCCAGCTACAGCCTTATTTTAAATAAAGGAAACAGTATAATATTCATTGCAAACAATGAGTTATTTGACATTTTGAAAATGATGAAATTAGATTTGTTTGACAGAAGAATGTGTTCATAATATGTCAAGGAAAAAAACCCGAAAAACCACAAAACCAGGCCTTTCTGCTCTTCACCATCATCTGTACCAGAATGAGTTATAATTGTGTGTTTCTAAAGTAAATTAACATTTCCACTGATATCTGTATTCATGGGCATAAAAACACCCCTGGGGATAAGAACCAAAATGGTTGTAGAAATTATCTCTGCGTTAAAGAATAACAGGTGACTTTTCTGCTGTTCTATTTTTGTGTGTATTTTTCCAAATTATTCTACAATGCATACATGCATAGCAGAGGTAGTTTGTTTTGTTTTTAAATACCATGCCAAAGAATTTGAACTTTACTCATAAAGTGATGTCAATTAACTTTTCATGAAGTAAATAATGGAAGATGCAGTAAGCAAGTTACCAGGGTAAAAGGGTTGTCCCGAGCTCCTCTAGGACACCCCTGTTGCACCCCTGTTGTTACGACAGCACAGAGGGGAAGAATGAGGTTCTGATTCCTGAGCGTCGCATTCCTGTGTGCGAGAGGCTGGCAGATCGGCACAGGCTGGGGAAGAGCAAGTGAGTTTAGGGTTCATCAGGCTGGGGTGACCACGGGCATTTTCCAGCAGTATCCAAGTCAGGTGGTGTTTTATAAATCAGCAAGGGGGCCGTGGGTCATCAAATTCCAATAGATCCTCCTCTGAGGAGAGGGAGTGATGAACACTGGACTGGTTTTGAGGGGCAGCAGCAAACATTGGGGTGTCAGATGTGTCCTGGGCCCCTTGGCTGGGGTGTGACTCATAGCTTGCTCTGTGACTTTTCCCTCTAGGAAAACCTGATTGGCGCCCTCTTGGCGATTTTTGGACACCTTGTGGTCAGCATTGCACTTAACCTCCAGGTAAGTCAGTCGTGCACAGTGCTGGGGCAGAGACACGGCAGATAAGCCAAGTGTCTTGTCCAAGTCCAGCTGTCCCCTCTCTGCTCCATGCAGGGGTGCTGCTGGGTCGATGTCCTCTGGGCTGTTCCTGAGTCTCTGGACTCTACCCTTCCCTCCCCGCTGCCACCACCCCCAGCTCAGCCTCCTGATCTCTCCCCCCACCCTCCCTGCCCCACTGTGCAGTGACTCCTAATGGGCCTCTCACCCTCTTGTGTTCACCAGGCTGCCGGGACTGTCCTGATGTTCAACTCTGCGTCCAGCACTGCCCTTTACTTAGATCCCTCCAGGGTGCCCCGTAGCAGCTGCTAAGCACAGCCTCTAGGTCCTGCTATGTTCAAACAGCTGTGACTGGGGACAAGCTGGCAGCTGGAGGCGTTTCTCTAGAGGGCACTAAGAAACCTTAGGGGGAGGAAATGGTAACACCCCTGGAAGCAGCCTCAGCCCATGGGAGTGGGAGCCCTCAGCCCCCATGGCCACTGGACTAATTTGCTCATTAATGCATCTTTGATTGGTTCATTTCCATCCTGCCTCACTCTCTCTCTCTCTCTCCCTGGAAGCATCTCCCACAGAAAGTACTTGCTCCCATGTTCTTGTCTTAGGGGTTGCTTCTGAGGATCCCAAATGAAGACTTGACATCCACTAGCAGGATAAATCTCACAGCACACACTGGCCGACTTCCTACCACCCACAGCCCCAGCCTCCCTCTGCCAGGAACTGCCCTGCTGCCAGGAGCAGCCAGGAGACTCAGTCCCTGGGGATGCACGCTTGTGTTTCTATGTGTGTGTCTTGTGTGCCTCACTCTGCATATGTGTGCATATGAGTGTCTCCGTGTGTTTCTGCAAAATGTGGTCCCCTGGCTACCTGTCTGGTTCATCCTCTTCTCCCTGCAGACCAGCTTCTCTGCCCATGTTTCTGTGTCCGTGTGGCTGTGGCGTGACCCTCCCCAGATTGCAGGCTTGGCCCCTGAGTCAGTCTGACTTTCTGATCTTCTTACTACATGGGTTTCTGTGACTCAAGTTCACATTTCCAGAAAAAAAAAAAAATATTGGCCACACTTGAGCTGAGAGTGTGCCTCAGGGAGGGCAGGGCTCGCCACTACCCCGGGGACTGCAGCCCGGGGGAGAAGTCGGGCCTGGCCAAAGTGGAACTCTTTAGACCATGGTTCCCTGGCTGGACCATGCTTGCCTGTGACGTGTGTTACAGTGCCCATCTCCAGGCTCTGTCCACACCTCTCCCGAGCCCATCTGAGGATCAGATCCAGGTGTGTAGTTTTGCAGATGTCCCCGAGGAAGTTTCAGGGCTTCTGAGCCAGCTGGAGAACCTGTCTTAGAATACCCCGCTAGTTTTTAGCTGGCTATGGTTGTACTCCTCTCTGCCAAAGGACTCCGGAGACACCTTGCTTGGCAGATCTGTGTTCCTATTTCAAGTGGGTGTAGATGGAGCATCCGTGCTGCGTGGCGTTGTTTTTTTCCTCTAACTCCCTGGGCAAACCACATTCCTGCTTGGATTTGTAGAAGTACTGCCACATCCGCCTGGCTGGCTCCAAGGACGCCCGGGCCTATTTCAAGACCAAGACATGGTGGCTGGGCCTGTTCCTGATGCTGCTGGGAGAGCTGGGGGTGTTCGCCTCCTACGCCTTCGCCCCACTGTCGCTGATTGTGCCCCTCAGCGCAGTCTCAGTGATAGGTAAGACGCGGCCCACCCACCCCTGGACCCATCGTGTGTGTGCCTGCAGCGTCACCATGGCATCAAAGGCACTAAGTAGATGAACAGCTTGTGCTCCAAGAATAATCGCTAGTGCCACACAGGGCTTTGATCACACAGGCCTGCTGCTGGTGCACTTCTGACCCTCCCAGCAGGGTTTCCAGGGTCATATTGGCATGCTGTCCATTTTACAGATGAGGAAACTGAGGCACGAAGTGGTGAAATGACTTCCCCTAAATTATACTGAGAGTGAATAGCAGGGTTGAGATAGGAACTGGTCTTTCTGGCTCCAGAACCTGTGTTAAGATTCAGGAAATATATTTGGATTGTTTTTATTGCCCTATCAGAAGGAAGAATACCCTTTTTCTCACCATCAAGATGAGCTAAGCATTCATAGGGTTCAGATTTCACTCACCTCTAAGACACATACATTCAGTTCTTTCTTTAATCTATTATATCTGATAAGACCATTTAAATAACATTACTCCCTTTCTCATCTGCTGTTATTCTATGATTTTGACCATCACTGAACCAACCAAAGTACAAAGGGGCTTTAGTGTCCATGAGATCACAGATTAAACAGAATTTGAAAAGAGGCATCATGGCACACATCTGTAATCCCTGCACTCTGGAGGCTGAGGCAGGAGGATCACTGCAAGTTCCAAGCCACCCTGGGCTACATAGTGAGTTCAAGGCCAGCCTGAACTGCATTGTGAGACCCTGTCTCAAAGAAAAAAAATTTGAAAAAAGTTCTTAAAAGAAAATGTTAGATGACTAGTGAACAGTAGCTTTCTGTACCAGGACCTGAGACAGTGTCTTGCTCTGAAAGATTGCCTTCCATTTTGCCAGCAAGTGTGACCCACCGTCCTTTCCCGCTCCTATGGGAGAATGGCACACCAGAGTCTGACTCCTTGCATTCAGAGGGCCTCTCGCACCACAGGAAGGGCACAGGCCGGACACAGCCCCAGAATGACATCCCTTTGGGGCTCAGCTTTCCTCTCGTGCCAGCCTGGAGGGGGCCTGAGAATCCTTAGAGCTTCAAGCAGCCACCACCTGTCACCAGGAGTTGGCAAACAGGAAGCCGGTTTGCTTTCTGTAATCCTGTTATAAGGCCCCCCTCTGCCTTTTGCCTAGTGTTGGTGAGCTAAAAGCCTGTGCAGTGAATGGGTCCCCCATGCGCTATTTTTCTCCAGCATTTAAAAAATGTAATTTAAATGCTTTTTACGAAGGCAAGACATTTGGCTTAGTCTCTGCCTTCCGCTGTTGTGTTCTGGCCCATTTTCTGTATGTGTGCTAATGCCCTGCCACTAGAAATAGTTAGATGTGTACCCATCTTTCTCTCCTTTGCCCACTTCTGGGGCTTTCAAAAGGGACCCAGGACCTTTATTCACAGTGAGGAATTAGTGGCTGGGGATCTCGTGCTTTCAATGCTAGTCCTTGAATTTTAATAAATAACCAAATTCTTAAAAATAATAGACTGAATTATAATGATGAGATTTCAGATATGAGCCACTGAACGTAAGGGGCCCTTAACAGTTCCTGAGTCTACCCTCAGAAAATAGTATTGAATTTTCAATATTAATTGAAAGTAATAGCTATCGTTGATTACTCATGACTTACCTATCTGTGTTACAAGGACTTTAATAATAATAATTTAGTTATTGCACATGAAGTCTGTACCAAATGATTTACATATTATTTGATCACCCAGAGAGTTATTTTCAGTGCCATGCTGCTAAACTGTCTCAGAAAGAGAAAGAAGAGGAGGTGGAGGGAGGGATGGAGAGAAGAGACTGAGAGGTGGAAAAGGAGAATAAATTCATAGCGTTTGCTGATTTATAAGGTGGTGAAATTATTTGCACCCTCTGTGGTTGATTTCAAGCTGCCAGTGATTTAATTAACGAGCCTCATCTCCACCTTCTGTTGCTGTCTTCTGGCCCATTTCTGTTTATGCCACTGCTCAGCTCCACATTTATGCTACTGCAGCTGGATCCAGCACACTACTGCGTCATAGACCAGAGAACTGAGGCGTAGGGGGAGCGGCATACAGCCAGAGACACCAAGTGGACTGGAGAGCCAGGTCCACACACTGTGCTGGCAGCCCTGTGCGGCCACAGGGAGTCTGAGTCCATCTGAGCATGCAGAAGAGTCAGGGAGAGAAAAGAACCAGGGGCATCAGAGGGGGCATCACTATGGAAGGTGCAAGAGCCGTGGTCCGGCAGTCCTGGGTTCAAATCTCACCTCCCTCATTAGCTGTATGATCTCAGGTGAAACCTTCACACCCACTTCCAAGATGAAAGTGTCAGAAATAGCTTGTATAAGTTGCCAGCCGCACAGTTGGTGTTCAGAACACACTGCTTCTGGCTTTTAGGAGAAAGGATTAAGAGGCTCCCCATTCCTCAGATAGAGGAACCAGGGACCGAGCTCTGGGAACACCATAGAACGAGAGGAAGTAGCAAGTTCCAGTATAGCTGAGCCAACCCAAAGGGCATGGGCAGCAGGGCCCCTGTAGCTGACAGTGACCTCACCCTGTTTTCCCTGCATGTATTTTTTTTCCAGCTAGCGCCATCATAGGAATCATATTCATCAAAGAAAAATGGAAACCGAAAGACTTTCTGAGTAAGTGCATTGATTTGAGCCCTTCTTTCACTTATACTCATGCTTTTCGTTCATTCTAAGTACAGCTGTCCTGATTGAGAGACCCTCTGCCTCCTGCCCTGCTCTCTCCAGGCTCCTGAGAGTGGCTTCCTACATCCATGGTCCCAGGCTGGGCTGACATCAGAATCACCAGAGATTCTTTTGGATGGACCTCCATTCATTCCACTCAGTCAGGAATGCTTGAGCATCCGTAGAGATTTTAGGAGGCCTGATCAAATGTGCACTCCTTCTCTGTCTGAAGCAATGGTAGTGAAACCCAGTGGACATTCTCCTTTTGTCCTGGTATCAGTAGGATTTGGGCCTGCAGCACAGGTTTGGAGCCCAGTGGACTCTTCACAGCCCACTCACTCTCATAAATCACCTACTTGGCTATACACAGGAGAGATATGTTCCCAGAAATATTGCCTTACATAGATTAGGGGCAAAGAGCAAAGCCCCAGTGTTTAAATACTTTTGATAGATTAACTCCACCCATTAAGATATGTGGGCCAATAAGGAAGAGGCGGAAGTGTTACATTCCTGGAGGCTCCACATGGAAACCTAAGAAGTGGAGAAGAAAGGTTCCCCAATGTCACCTAGTAAGTGACACACTCTAACATAGGTGCTGGGTTACACAGATGGGGTTCCTGTTCTCACAGAGAGTTTAGTCCAGTAGGGGTGCAAGTGTGGGAGACAAGGAATACAATAAGCAAGTCAATAGCTAAATAAGCAAAATATCTTTAGATCAGAGTGAATACTTCTGAGAAAATAGAATGCTTGGTGGCAGATTAAGGAGAGGGAGACACTTTGCCCAGACTGCTCCAGAGTCAGAGTCTCTGAAGGGGTGCTCTTATGGGGGCAAAGTGTGCCACACAGAGGGAGCAGCAGGTGCAAATGCCCTGCAGCTGGAACAGACTTGTGTGTGCAGTGTCAGTTAGGCCAATAGCCCCCAGGTGAAGTTTATACTGATGCCTACTTTGATCTGAAATGCATCCAAAGACAGGACAGGCCGGTGAGCAGGTAGAGGGGTGGAGACGGATAGATGCCTGCTACAAGTGTAACCAAATGTCCAATTTGAACCTAGGTGATGGGACTTGGGGTGCTCACTGTACAACACTTTCAACCATTCTGTGTGTTTAAAAAAATACGAGGCAGAATTTCAGGGAGAAGGGGATTCCGAGATGTCGTGGACACTGGGTTGGGGCAAGGAGGCCAAAAACTGAAAGAATCTCAAACTGAGAAAAGCAGAACCGGAGGCTTTGGGTTTCCTGCTCAGCAAACCCCCGATGCCAGGAAAAGAGTCTGATCTGCAGTTGCCTGATAGGGAGGGTAGGGGGAGGGAACCTTGGGCTGATGTTGAGACTACTGTAGATATTTCTTTTTCTTCCAGCATTTCTAGGTAGTTCTGGAATGAAAGCCATTTCTGGTCCAGTTAATACCCTGTGTGAGTTGGAAAAAGATGGTTCCACTGGGCTTCTATAGCTCTGTGGGCACAAGCCTTCATGAACAAAGCATGAACTAGAGTTTAACCCTCCTCATCCCCTGAGTCAGGTACCCTTGTATGAGCAGCCTGCACAACTGCATGTGCCCACTCTGCCTAAAGTGCCCTTCAGTTTGGCAAACATTCGCTCAGAGCTGGACCTGTGCGACACACTGTGGGTGTGGAAATGCATATGGCCCTTTCTTGCCCGGAGAAAACTGAAGACAACCGGCTTACTCTATCAAGTTTTATGTGGCTTAATTCACTCACTAAACAACCGAACGATTTCTGAGCCCCTTCTACCTTTATGAAGCCTAGGACTACTGACATTAAAAAAGAAAAAATACATTTTCTAGGGCATGACATTTTCTGGAGACAGAGGATGAAGCAGATTTAGTAAGTGCTGTCTCAGGAAGGTCCACAGAGGTCTGTAATCGCCACATGTGCGGCACAGAATTCTCAGCCCTTTTCAGCCTGCCCGGGCTGGGCTGGAAGTCCCAAGACTTCCCCCTCCAACCTAACTGAGCCCTCTAGAAATGTGACAGGACACCAGGGGAGAGACAGGGCCCCAACAGTCTCCAGCAGGTGTGTGGGGCAGAGCAGTGTTGGAGTTGTCCCCCTGGAAGTGAGGGAGTAGCCTGTTGGAAAAGGGTGAGGAGATTGTCTAAAGGGCTGTCTGAGGCTCCCGTTAGATGTCTTGTTTCATTTGGTGTTGCAGCTTGTAAAAGGGTTCTGGCTTTAAAACATTCCCTGGAAAGCGCACATTAAACCTCAGTACGCTGTCAGAGTGTGTGAGGTGAAAAGACAGAGCGTGCACAATGACAGAGACACAGAGCTCTCGTGCTTTCCTTCTGGGAGTGCAAATGGGCACAGCCACTTGGTTTTTGGGTTTTGTGTGTCTGTTGTTGCTTTGAGACAGAGTCTCACTCTGTAATTCAGGCTGGTCTTGAACTCACCACATAGCCCAGGCTCACCTCGAGTTCACGGCGGTCTTCTTGCCTCAGCCTCCCGAGTGCTGGGGTTATGGCTGTGCACCACCTAGGAAGCTGGCACAGCCGCTTTGGGAAAACTGTTTGACAGTCATTCCCAAACCAGACTCCATGTATCTGTCATCCCAAGGGCCACACTGCTGGTTTTGTACCCAGTAGAGATGCACACGCGTATTCCCCAAAGGACACATGGAGAATGTCCACGGTCAGAGGGCAGAGATCCTCCAGCACCCATGCACGCTGTGTGGAGTGGCGAGCCATGTGTAGCATCGCACACGGTGTGGGCAAACCTCCCAGCCACAGTGCCGAGCTGGCAGGGCCAGGGGGCAGTGAGGAAACCATCAACACCAAGCGCAGAATCAGCCAAACTCCTGGTGTCCTTAAGTCACCGTTGCATTACGCTGACCAAGAGCTGTAGGATTGGGAGGGTGCAGATGGGGACATGAGGTCCTCCCGATGTTCTCTTCCTTGCCCCGGTGCTGGCCTCGTGGCTATGTTCACCTTGACCCTTGGGAGAGTGCACGCAGCACGTCATGCACACGTGTCATCCTTTATATAAGCTCCTTTGAGGTTTAAAATAACCTTTAAAGCTGGACGTGGTGGTGCATGCCTGTAATCCCAGCACTCAGGAGGCTGAGGCAGGAGGATTAATGCAAGTTTTGAGACCAGCATGGGGTACATAGTGAGCTCAAGGCCAGCTGGGACTACACAGTGAGACCTTGTCTCGAAAGGACAAAAAAATAAAAAATAACCTTTAGGATGATCATCTCTTTTTAAAAGTGAGCAGCATGGAGCTTGCTGTGGGAATTGCTCTTTCTCTGCCAAGAGTTCATCCTCACCTGGGCCTCCCCTGTGGTGGGTCCCTGATGGCCTGTCCCTCCCACAGGACGCTACATCTTGTCTTTCATTGGCTGTGGTTTGGCTATCGTGGGCACCTACCTGCTGGTGACATTCGCACCCAACAGTCACGAGAAGATGACGGGTGAGAACATCACCAGGCACCTCGTGAGCTGGCCTTTTCTCCTGTACATGGTAAGAGGAGGCCCTGGTGCTCCCGGAGAGGGCAGCGGGAGGGTGGGGGTTGAGCCCCAAGGACCCAGCAGCGAATCAGAGGTTCCGTGAATCGTGGCTTATTGTTCAGGATGTGAGGCAGTACCTGCCCGAGTCCAGAGTTCATGGGGAGTCGCCACTTCCTTTACACTCTGAGTGATGTCTACAGCTATATGTCCCAGAATGCCAAGTTTTATGTTTTTGGAGGGATGTGAAGGTTTATAAATAGAACATATCTATGAAGGAATGGATAGAAATACAGAAATTCCAGGTAGTTATCTTTGGCAGGTGGAATTAGGATTCCAATTTTATTTCTTCATCTTGCTGTGTCATCCAGAAGTTCTACAGCGATCAATGAAAATGTTTATGATAAAAAGAAGTTAAAGGTTTAACAGTTTAAGAATGGTGTTTTTCTCTGCAGTCACTCAGTGGATAGAATCTGATCAAATGCCAGGAGACACCGGAGGCTCTCGTGAGCCCCAGCCGCCGGCGCTCCGCCCTTCTCTGTTACCTCCTCTCGGGTCTGCACGTAAACCGAGGAGGGGCAGCAACTCGGGCGTCTGGCCCAGCTGCTGGTGTAGGCTTGTCTTATACCCAGCCCTGTACCAGCCATGTTTTAGATCTCATCCCAGAGACCGCACAGCCCCACGTAGTGTTTTTCTCTCCATTTCATGGGTGGGGAAACTCGGCCCAGAGAGGTAGCAGATTTGCACAGAGTCCATAGGGCAGAGCCAGATGTGAAGGCCGCGCCTACCTGGGGCCTGGTACCACCACCCTGCCCGGGGCCTGCTGACAGGTGTTCGCTATTTGCATCCAATGCAAGCAGCTGCATCAGAGGCCCCGAAGCTCCTTTTCCTTACACGGCCCACAGGCTGGAGCCGTGTCATTTCCCTGCCACCAGCCAGCCCAGAGGTTCCCCATGGGTACTGAGAGACGTGCCCGGGACAGAGCCAAAGACCTGCCAATAAAGGGTCCCCCAAAGCAAGCCTCTGCTCAGGGAGGCCTGGGCTTCTGGCCCTCATGTGCTGGGTGGCTTCATTCTGTTTCCTTCTCTGTAGGATGGCACAAGTCATGGACCTAGGGTTGCGGTTAGGAGGTACACAGCTAGCACGTGAGGCATCCAGCCTGCGGCGGATGGTCACAGATAAGCCAGTGCTTTGTCTCACTCCATGTGACCCTGAGGCAGAGCACCCAAACCAGGCCTGGGACCCTCTGAGTGGCTGCTATAAGCCAGGCATTGAGGATATAAAACCAGTGCGAGGAGCTCACAGAAGGCAGTGGTCTGTCTGGAGAATCCTGGAGGGCAGCCCCAGTATTGAGTACTCTAGATGTGTGCACAACCCGGGACTGGGGGTGGGCGTTCATTGAGTGACTTTACGTCTGCTTGATGGAGCATTCTCCAGCAATTAAAGATAATTATGACAACGCCATAAAACGTAAAGATTGTTACTAAAAGCAGCCCGATACCTAATGGAGCACTGATACAGTGACAACTAGATAAAATTCGTGTGCTCTGAGACAAAGACCCGACATAAACAAGGGAAATAAAAACAGCCTATGTTTTATGGCCTATATTCTAAGGCATCTTAAACTTTTTAAAAACTTCAGATTGCCCATTAATGCTTATGCGTTTGTTGTGATACTAAATAAACTCTGGAAGGGGGTGGGGGTTGGCAGACACTGCTGAGCCATCACCGAAACTTTAGTGTCCCTGGGTGCTGGCACACTGGCTCTGTAGGAAGCTGCTGACAAATGTCTGAGCCTTTAAGGGTGGAAAGGACGAACTGTTGACGTTGGGGGCAGGGAAGCTTCTCAGACCCCAGGCTTGCCCTGACACAAGGCTTAGGAAATGTCTCCCAGTTGGGCTTCTCCTGACCCTACATACCAGGCCCTGGCCTCAGGAAAATGTGTGCCCTGGAGCCAGGTGGTCCGAGCTCAGAGCCTGGCTCTGCTGGATTTGGGCCATTGTGATTGTACCTACCTCATAAAACAATTGAGCCAATATAACAGGTTTGATACAAAGGGCTTAAAACAGTGCCTGGCCTTTAACGACGTTCATTAAATGTAAGCTCAACTGAGGCCCTGTGAGTTTTACCCTTATCATCGTGTCTCCCAGAGGAGCTAATTAAGGTTCACAGGGGTTAGTGCCTTGCCCAGTTTAGAGTTTAGACAGATCAGAGCCGTCTCAGAGTGCTAATCTTCTGCATCTGAGATTTGGTTGGGGAAGGGGAGTTTAAGGCATATTCTTGATCTAACTGCTCAGGGAACAAGCCCCTCCCTCCTCGGCTGGCCCCTGTTTTAACAGGGATACCCCAGGAGCAGTGAAATGGGGAGAGATGGTCTCAGCCTGATGCGTCTTGGCCGACCTCGCCAGGCAGTGGTGAGGTCAGCGTCCCCAGTCTGAGCTCCAGCCCGAGGTGAATGGGGTCTCTGTGCTGTCCAGCAGCCGGACATGTTCATGCTGCCCGTCCCTTTCCCTCCTCCTCTGTCAGTGCATTGGGAAGTGCAAGAGGTCTGACTCCCTTTCACCTCCAAGTGTCCAGGACTCTGGCAAGGCCTCCTGACCTCCCTCATCCCTTTGCAGCTGGTGGAGATCGTCCTCTTCTGCTTGCTGCTGTATTTCTACAAGGAGAAGAACGCCACCAACATCATCGTCATTCTCCTCTTGGTGGCCTTGCTCGGTAAGCGGGGTCTGGGATGGAGTTTGCCACCAGCACCAGCCCCAGAAGGAGCAGAGGTTTTGTTTCCGGAAGCTACTTGAGGCCAGCTCAAGTTTCCGGAAGCTACTTGTGGGTCCCTGCTGTGGGGAGGCTGCTCCCGTCATTCCAGCAGACTTGCACTAATCCCGGCCTCCCAAGTGCCAGGAGCCTGTGTCTGTACCCCGGAAGGAGACAGACACCCTGTCCTGGGGGCTTTGTTCTGAAAGGTGGGCACAGGGCAATCCCTGCGGGGACCAGCGGTGACAGTGAGGAAGAATAAAGCAGAGGTTGGTGGCGGGGGAGCTCAGAGGTCGGTTCAGAGCAGGTGGAGATAGAGGGAGCCCAGCCACCATGCCCACCCGCAGGAGTCCGTGCCCAGCAGCAGACGTGGGGAATCCAGAGGCAGAAGCAGATTTTTCTCACATCCTCTCGTCTGCTGCCCTTTTAAAGGGACACTTATTAGGAAGGAAATGGTTCCTGGGCTGGGTCAAGGCAGGGACGTAACCATGTTTTATTTTGTGTGCTAAATACAACGGAAGAGGGAGGCACAGGGCTTCTGGATGCTGTCACTTGTGGACACCAAGGGCCCCACCAATGGCTCTCCCTCCTCCACACTGTCCTCGCTCTAGCAATGGGCACATGAGGCTGGGTGTGGTGGTGTGCCTATAACCCCAGCACTCGGGAGGCTGAGGCAGGAGGGTCACCGTAAGTTTAAAGCCATCCTGGGCTACACAGTAGATTCAAGGCAGTCTGAACTGCATAGCAAGACCTTGTCTCAAAAAAACAAAACAAAGTAAAAGTATATTTTTAAAATGGGTACCCGAGAACATTCAGATGACAGGAGAAGAAGAGATGGAGTGAGCTGAGCATGAGTGCCCAATAGGAGTTACTTCTCTTCTGTCTTTCCCCCACAATGCAACAGGCCATAAACCACATGGGCATCTGCCACCAAACACAGGCTTGCACTATTTCGATTTTTTAAAAATATTTTTATCAAGATAGAATTTGTGTACCATAAAACTCACCTATTTGGCATGTACAAGTCCATGGTTTCTAGTCTGTTCACAGAATTGTGCACGCATCAACATATTCTAATTTAATAATACGTTCAGTCACCCCCAGAATCAACCCTGGGCCCATCAACAGTTGCTCCTAGCTCCCCGCCTCCCAGCCCCAGCCCCATGTACTCAGCTCCCGTCTGTCTCTATTGACTTGCCTTTTTAAATCTTGTATAATTGCGTTCATGTATGAGGTGTGATTAAAAAACTAGACCCATTGCCATTGAGCCCCCTCAAAGTGCTCCCCCTCACTTCAAACGCACTGTCATTCTTGCCACTTTCTGAAGCTGTCCTAGAAGTCCTTTTTCACGAGTGTCTTCGGTAGCATGGTCCTGGCTGCCTCAGAGTCCTGAGTCAGTCCAAAACATTTAGCCTTTATGGGCTTTCTGACTCGGGAAGAGCCAGGATTTGCACGGTACTGCACGGTACTGCGAACACACCGTAAGGTGTTCACAAGCCTGTCTGTGCATTGGATGGCGTTTGGCAGCTATGTTCACTGTGTTTTTGATCACACCCCGTAAAGCCTGTCTGAGAGACTGTTTCATGAATCTGCTTCAGGAAGTGGCACTAACAACGGGACACGTATTGAAGGGGAGGTAGCTTTTCAGGGTTAATGGCAACGTGTCTTTTACAGTAATAATTTTCAGTTTATATGTTGGTCACGCCTTGTATTGTGTGGCCTTTTGTGACCAGCTTCTTTCAGTGCGAGTATGTGTGAGGCTCATCCGCGCTGCAGTGTGACTCAGCCCTTTGTCTCTTGGTGACTGTTTTCAAAGCGGGAAGGATGGGTCCTCTCTCTGTGAGGAGCAGGGCCAGACCCAGGCTGTGGGCAGCCTCGTTCTCACTAACGAGGACAGCGGTGGCAAAGGTTTGTCGTCAGTGGCTGCCAGAGCTGAGACGCTGTAACCTCGTGGCCACAGGACCTGGGAGCCCAGGGTGTGGCAGGCTGCTGGCAGGAGAAGCAGGACAGCTGACAGGGCCCCGAAGCAGAGTGGTGCAGCCGGGACCAGGGCTTCCCCATCACATAGGCGGGCTGGTTAACTCCTGCTCGGCAGGGGTCTGATGGTCTCCACGGAGAGGAAAAGTGTTAAAACTTAACAAGTTAAAAAACTTAACAAGTTTCGCCTCCACTTTAAAGTGCCATTTTCTGTCCATGTTTGATAATGTATATGCCACATTAAGTGCAGAGTAAAAATTTGAGATAAATACACACACATGTATTGGGAATGTATATGCATACACACAGGCTTCCAAAACATCAGAGACTTCTCAGAAAAAGAAATGGTTTTTAAAAATGCAAGTTATCGAGCATTAAAAAGTGATAACTCCTAAGCTCTTCACACATCCTGTGTCTTCCTTTAATTGCCGTGACACTAATGTAGAAGAAGCCCATCTGTCTGTTTGAAGATCCTTGGGCCTCCCACCATGTTCTGGGCACAGTGCCAGCACTCAGGTCCAGAAAACTGGCCTGTTGCTCACAGTGGAGCTCAGAAGTGATGGTGGCACTTGCCTGTAATCCCAGCAGTTGGGAGGCTGAGGCAGGAGGAGTGCCCTGAGTTCCAGGCCAACCTGGGCTACATAGGGAGACCCTGTGTCAAAACGAAACAGAAGAATATTTGGAAGGAGCCATTAGTGTATTGTTCACCTCCCCACTTTGCTGTGCTAGCAGTCAAGGAAGGTAAAAAGACCCAATCCTGCTAACTTTACGAGTTTTCCCTCCCAGTTCGGTCGTGGAGGCCCTTGGAGTTATCACTGGCTTTCCCTGCATTTCCCTAAGGCCATCGCATGTCCTTGGTCCCCGTCTTCAGGCTCCATGACAGTGGTGACGGTCAAGGCCGTGGCTGGGATGCTGGTCCTGTCCATCCAAGGGAACCTGCAGCTCGACTACCCCATCTTCTACGTGATGTTCGTGTGCATGGTAGCCACCGCCGTCTACCAGGCTGCGTGAGTAGCAACTTCTTGCCCTCCTGGGCCTCGCTGTGCAAATCTTCCGGTTTCCGGGCCTGATTACTTTGGGATTTGAAGCCATGGGAAGGAGAAACATCCAGATCACCAAGGTCTGGCATCTAAGGGTGAGGAAGGAGCTACGAGGATGCAGGTTTGTCCCATGGAGTGGGTGTGCACCACTGGGATGTGAAACCTGGAGTGGACTTTTTGGTTGCTGTCTGTCCACCTCACATTGTGAGAACTGCGTGGTCAGAGGCTCACGCATACACACTCACACAGAGAAGCAGCTTTGCTCTCCAGTGAGCCCTCCACTTATCTGCTAGGTGGGCAATAAGCGTCATCATTTCTTATCTCAAAAAAGCTCCCCCAATCTTCCCAGGTTGAAGAGCCATCTTGTTTCTCTAAGTCTTCGATTTGACTATAACTCAGGAGTCCTGAGGGTAGGGCCTGGTGGCCAAGCAAGACCTGGCAGGGAGCAGGTGTTCCAGGAATATTACAGGTGATAACCTGCGTCTGTATGTAATTCACAGTGTGGCGTGTGAGGCCAAATCCACCCGGAAGGTCAGAGCGGAGCTCGATGTCCCCCAAGCATGAGGCCTTGAGGGATGAGAGCAGTAGCTGCTGCTGGTGGGAGCTCAGTGTTTAGGGAAAAAACTGATTGGTCCTCAAAACTCCTGGGGAGGAGATTCACTCTCCCCATTTTGCATTTGGAGAGCTGAGGGGGAGGTTAAAGCTAAGGGGGGCGGGGAGCTGAGAGTTGAACCCCTGTCTGGCCCAGGGCTTGAGCCCCTCTGTTCTCTCACTACCTCCTGCTCAGATTCTTCAATGCTCCATGCACAGGAGAGAAAAACAGTCCTGACCTAAGAGTGTCCTGTGCAGGATGGCATTGTAGACACATTAGCTTCCTTAACGATGATAACTATTACTATGACTACCATTTCACCATTAATATTTTTAGTCCTACTTTAATTCCAGCCATCCCCAGGAAGCCCTGCCAATTTCAAGGTTCCATGCAAGTGGCCCAGGGGTCATGGACAGCCCAGATGCTGCAGCATACGCAGCCACCATCACTGCCTTCCAGGCACCCATGGCCCGAGGCAGGGACAGGCCTTAAGCGGGCAGTTGTGACCAAGGAGGCACCTATGATGGTGTGTGCATCTGCATGATGCTAGCTAGGATGCCAGCCACAGGAAGAACAAAGAATTATCTCCAAATGAAGCTGCTGTCTATCACAAATGGAGACACTGGGGATGACTGATTGCAATAGCAATAATCACATTGTTTTTTAATTAAGAAGAAAAAATGTTTAAGCAGTTATAATACTAGGCAGAATGTGGTCTGCATATCTGAGTGTGTGTGACCAGGATCAGGAATTGGTCTTTTCAGAGGTGAGACATGGGGAGAGGAGAACCCATCTCGGGTGTTAAGAACCTCAACGCGGTCCATTGGGTGAGATCAGGAAAGAGTGGCCCTCTTGGCTTCGGGCCATGAACCACGCATGGACCTCAGACCTAGGGACGCATGGTGCCCATAACAGGAAGGGATATTGGCGCGAACCTGAGAGCTTCTCTCCCCACATTCCAATCCACACTCTGCCTTTCCAGCCTCCTTACGGCCCCCTGATCTGAATGTTTTTGGTTGTAGGTTTTTAAGTCAAGCTTCACAGATCTATGACTCCTCACTGATCGCCAGTGTGGGCTACATTCTGTCCACCACTGTGGCCATCACAGCAGGTAAGGCTGACCGAGATTTCTGTATTCTGTCTGTGGTTTTTATGGAGGGTATCCAGGATGCAGAGCCAGAGAAACCTGGATTTGCAGCCTCGCACAAATGCATCCTCACTGTGTGGCTCTGGAAAAATAACCTCATCTCTCTGTGCTTCAGCTCTACGTTGCTAGAATGGGAGTAATAACATGTCCTGTGGTTGCAGTACGTACAACCCAGATGCCCCATTGCATGCCAACTCCACAGTTCCCACTGGCTAAGGAACCGTGAATCTCTCCTACATAACAGTTAGAGCTCATGAGTATTTGAACCATCTGTGGGATCACAGGTGCTCAGTGAGCAGTCACTATCATCATACCCCCTTTTCTCCCATTCTCTGATTTTTTTCTTTTTTGTTCTGAAGTGAATTCAGAGGCTACAAGCATATTACTGAGGGTTTGTCTGTCTGACTGTTTTCTGGTACTAGGGATCAAACCCAGAACCTTTGCACTGAGCTTGTTTGTTTGTTTGTTTGTTTAAATTTTGAGACAGGGTCTTGCTGAGTCACTAAGTTGTCCCACCTGAGCTCAAACTTGTGCTCCTCCCACCTCAGCCTCCCAGAGTGCTGGGATCATGAGTACATGCCACTGTCCCAGGCTTGTTTTTAAATGGCAGTGATGCTCAAATCTTCAGGGTAAAGGCCGCTGAGAACCTTGCAGAAGGCCCAGCCAAGGCTCTGCACTTGGCACAGGTGGCACTTGGTTCTCAGGGCCAAGGACATGCAGGGCACACAGTCTTCCAGGACCTGCACTCTTAGCAGGACCAGGTATTGGACTGTAAGCTGACCCCTCATAGCCAGGAGCTCAGCTAAGTCATAGTCAAGAGCCTTGGCCAAGAGGGCTGCAAACCAGTCAAGGTTGGAAGGGACAGCAGACTCTGGTTGAGTCAGAGACAGGAGTCAAGTGAGGGATCAGGAGCTCAGGAATGCTCTGGGAGCCATAGTGGGGAGCAGTTCCAGATGGAAGCTGGCAGCCATGCAGGAACTGGGAGGGGGTCTGCAGACTGGCATCTGCTGGCTGCATGAGGCCAGAAAATTCTAGGACATAAGCACAGAGCTTTTGTCCACCTTATTTTTTTCCCTACCCATTGGTTTTTTGAGACAGGGTCTCACTGTGCAGTTCAGCTCAGTCTTGCACTCACTATGCAACCCGGCTGGCCTTAAACTCACAGCAGTCCTCCTGCCTCAGCCTTCTGAGTACTGGGATTACAGGTGTGCGCTACCACATGCAACTAGTTTGTCCTTTTTTTTTTTTTTTTTATCGGTACCAGGGATCGAACTCAAGACCACATGCTTGCAAGGCAGGCGCTTATGCCACTGAGCTAAATCCCCCACTTGTTTGTCCATTTTAACAGAGGTGTGTGTATGATGCATGCACCTGTGTGTGTATAAAAGTTGGTAAATAAATATTTTTTGTAAATGGCCTAGGGATGTAACTCAGTGCAAAAAGCCCTGGGTGCAATCCCCAGTACTAAAAAGAAAAAAATGTAAATAAAACGTAGTTTAATGAGTCCTTGTCATCTTCCTGGTTTTGACCAAACACTATGGCAGGAAAGCTAGGGAAAAGGTGCATGGGTACCATGTGCTATTTTTGTGAGTCTAATGTTATCTCAAAAGATGCAAATCAGAGAAGCCTCAAGGCATAGAGAGATGCAGACAGTCTGTTCCCCCGAGTGTTCCATAGTCCGTTCTTGTGCTGTGTTAGAAACACAGGCATCGTCACAATATTTGTGACCACTCTGGTTTCCCAGAGTGGAGAGAGTTCAGCCAGACCTTAGTGAGGCCAGCACACGGTGCTCGGGCAGCGGCACTCGGGCTCACCTATCTTCCTCTTCCTCGCTGTCCAGGTGCGGTATTTTACCTAGACTTCGTCGGGGAGGACGCGCTGCACATCTGCATGTTTGCACTGGGGTGAGTCACCTGCGGCCGCCCAGGTGGGTGGCCCTGTCCCTGTGAGGGCTTCAGCACTGGGTCCTTTAGAGTCATTTGCAGAGCCTAATAGGATTAGTAACATCTCAAGCTGATGAGACGACAAAGAGACCGGCCATTACCTGCCACACTGAGTAGCGTGTTAGTGTGGGGGACAGTGTGGCCTCATTGGTAGTAACTTCAAGTGGTACAATTTTAGAAGCAATATTCTGATTGTAACCATTTACTGGGAAAACACTTGAACGTGGACACAGAGATAAACAGATGAGATACTTATCTTACTTTGTTGTGTGTATAAACCGGACGCAGCCTAAATGCCGAGCAGTAGAACATGGGTGAATTAGTGGTGGTATATCCATATAACAGAGTGCCAGGCAGCAGTTTTAAAAAATAGAGGTCCCTACCCTGGTACAGTGATGCATGCCTGTAATCCCAGCACTTGGGAAGCTGAGGCAGGAAGATCGTTGCAATTTCAAGACCAGCCTGGTCTACAAAGTGAGCTCAAGACCAGCCTGAACTGCGTAGTGAGACCCTGTCTCAAAAAGACCAAAAAGAAAAGAAAGATATAGGCCAATGCATAGGTAAAACAATATCTAGGATACATTAAATGAAAAGCATTCACACACATTACAAACTTTTTAAAAGTGTGGCTTGCCCTTTAAAACATAAAGAAGGGTAAGTTACCACTTGTAGGTGTTAAGCTCTCTGAGAAACGAGTACAGACAGATGACTCGTGCAGGAGAGTCTGTAGTCCTTTATTCCTCACGGCCCCAACTGCAGGCAGCCTACAAGCCTACCCGCAGGAGGGTGAAGGAAAGTACAGGATGTTCAGACAGTGGATGCTACACAGCAGTTACAACTAATGAGCTGGTATGTGTAACTAAGTAAACGGATCTTAGAAACTGCATGGGGTATCAAAGAACACACACTGAAAGAATTAATTCAGAAGAATGCGAAAAGCAAACGTGATGAGGGGTTGGACAGTGGTTACCTCAGAGGAGGAGGCGGAGACCTCTGAGGGATAGAAATATTTCTGCTTTAAGTTGGGATGTTGTGCCTTCAAGTAAAGTTCGTCCAACTGGCTTTTAAGGCTTGCGATTTGTTTTGCTTTGTTTTGTTTTGTTTTCCTTTTCTAGTACTGAGGGTTGAGCCCAGGGTCTTTGCACTGAGCTACATCCACGATCCTTTTTTTTTTTTTTTTTTTTTTTAATTTTGAACAAAGTCTGCCTGCATTGTTCAGGCTGGGCTCAAAGTGGCCTCCCAGAGTGCCACCCACCCAGCTGTGTCTGTGCTTTTTAATGTGTGTAAATTATACCTCAGTTTTTAGAAACTATGCTTTTGTACATAAGCTTATAAGGAAAACAAAACCAAAAATACTCCAAAAGAATATATACCCCCAAGGATATATATCCAATTTATATACGGACTTTCTGATTTTTACTAATTTTTACGTTTTTATCCTAATGTAGTAATTGAATGGGTCATAAGAGATTTGTAAAGAGCACCTTTTTTTTTTTTTTTTTTTTTTGTCTTTTTCATTTTTATCGGTACCAGGGATCGAACTCACGACTGCCTGCTTACAAGGCAGGTACTTATGCCGCTGAGCTAAACCCCCAGCCCAAAGAGCACTTTTTAAAGCCAAGTTCCAGAAGTATTGACTGGGTACAAGCAAGTCTTGCCGGGTGGTTCTAGTTGATTCAGATGACGGTCTAACTGAGGGGCAGGGCATGGGGGTGCTTGGCCGTGATTATTCCCCTCGCATCTGCGGCCCCTCAGGGCTTCTCTGCAGAGCAGCCTCCTCCACAGACTTCTCTCACCCTCCCATCACCACCTGCTGCTGCGCAGGTCCCTCCCCAGCCCCTCCCTCCCTTATTTCTCTTGTCCCCCTTCCTCAGGTGCCTCATCGCCTTCTTGGGTGTCTTCTTAATCACGCGGAACAGGAAGAAGGCCATTCCATTTGAGCCCTACATCTCCATGGATGCCATGCCAGGTACCATGACAACCTCACGTGTCCGGCTGGCCATGCATACAGAGTGGCCGGCTTCCTGTTGGAAACAGGACAGCCGGCGCTGGGCATGGTGCAGGGAGGATGTGCTGTGTCTCATGGTGTGGCTGTTCTCTCGCTATCTTTTTTTTAATTTCATGCAAAAGAGGAAGCAATGACAGAGGCGCCTCGGTTGGTTCTGAGCACATCTCACCAGTTCCTGTGTCTATTTTGGGAGCTTTTGAAGAAAATCCTGATTCACAGTGGATATAATTATGATCTGTAGCACCAGGCTGCAGGTCTGCAAACGGAAAAACCCATCCATCTAGTTGGAATGGAATGATCAGAGAGGGAAACAGGTAGAATGGAATTCACTGGCCGGACTCCACGGGGAGTAGACTGCTCTCATTTCCAGAGAGCTCAGGGTTCACACCAAGCGGCACAAGCCCAGATGCTGGAGCTCTGACAGTGATGTGGACGACTCAGCCAAACACTGCACCATCAGTGTGCAGAAGTGGGGGCTGGGGAGAGCTCCAGGGTACCTGTCCAGCCTCAAGGAGTCCGGCCGGAGAATCAGCACCTCAAACCAGCTCCAACTAGGTTCGCTGACCGAAATTCTCCAGGTGACCACCAAAACTCAAAATCAATTTTTATTTTAAATAGGTGCGATGAGACACTTTACAAAACCTAATTGCCCATTCTTCATGAACACGACCTAATGAACCAAATTTAAACACTGAGGGCTCAGACAACTTGTGAATCAAGAGCAGCCCTTAGTTCATTTGTGCCATGAGTTCTCAGGGCTGGCTGAGGTCCTCCGTACTACATGGTCCCAGTAAATTAGTGTATTTCTCCCTTTGATGTCCTTTGCTCATCTTGTGCCATTAAGCTGTTGTCCGCCATTCGTGCTGTGACAGTCCCTGCAGCATAGTGACTCCACGTCCATCTCATCCTCCTCCCACGTTCAGACCGTGTCTAAACCCACCGCGAATGAGCTCCAAGTCGGGGCCGGAGGTTTCTCCCCGGAGTTGAGTGCATGGCTTTGTTCAGTGTGTGGACTTTTTAAACATCTAACCTGGCTGCTCAGATGCCTTTTGCTTACTTCCTTGTTTCTTGGTTGTGTTCCGGATAGATGAGGGCGCTGGATAGCTGAATTCCAGATAGGTGAGGTGTCAACTCTGTGTGTGCAAGTTCGTGTATGTATATGTGTGCTCGTGTGCCTATAAATATACATGTGTGTATATCTTTACAAGTGTTTGTGTGTAATGTGTATATATACCTATTCAGATGTATTTTATGGTGGTGAGTAGAAGGTAATCTCAGGTAATCTTAGATATCAACATTCTGTGGCCTGTTTGTGGGTGTGGCTCTTGGCTTTCTCTTTATACCTTGTGGCCAGTGGGAAATCAGATGTTGAAGAATGGGGACCCAGCCCTTATTGCAGTGATTGTCAGGATACTTCTGATTAAATGCTCGGGCTTGGAGTTCGGGTGACCTGGACTCAAGTCCCAGCTCCGCCATCCTCCTGCCGTGTGGCCTCCCGGGGCTTCTTGTTCTCACCTGTCGATTGGGATTCCTGCTTTCAGGGCAGTGGGTTCAGATGTGCAGAGGCCTCCTGCACTGTGTCTGGGACATGGTAGATGCCTGGTTCTTTATGGTTTCACTTCCCTTTTGCTTTAACGAACTTTGACCATTTCAAACGCCTGTTTGAACTACCGCCAGGTAGCAGAGGCAGAGGCAGAATAAAGCTGCCTGATACCCTGAGCTTAGACAGAGGCACTTTTCCCGCCACCTGGTTAGCAAAAGGAACCGGCCTTTTGTCTGTCTAGGTTGCTGTTATAGACCAGTAACTGATGTTCAAGAGGTCTTCAAGGTCTTCAACTCTCAACATGTCATAATTTGGGGAAGTTTCAAATAGCAAGAAACTGGAGCCTCTATTTTTTGTTTGTGGTTTTTTCCTGCAGTGCTGGGAACCGAACCCAGGACCTTGCACATGCTAGGCAAACACACGGCTGCTAAGCCACCTCCCCAAGCCCCAAAGCCTTTTTAAATGTGAGAAACTGGATGTGGTGTATGGAAGCCCTTTTCCTGCCTTCATCGCCGTCCGGGAAGTTTGTATTTGTAAATCCATGGAAATGTTAGTGGATCTGGGAAGTTAATTCCAGTCTGCCACCTCCAGTGCAGTCCACGGTGAGAGTAAGGACACTAAGACACATTTATAGGTAAGGCCCTGGGTCCAGTTCAGACGAGGGTTCACAGCACAAAGGCCATGACCCAGTTTTAGTAATTTGTGAAGAAGGGAGAGACTAGAGGATGCGTGACTGTGAGAATGACAGGAATTATGTGAGCGCTGTGAACTGAGCTAGCTAGGAAGCCAGAAAGCACCTCTGCAATATGCAGAGTGAAGGATGTGCAGAAAGACCAGTCCGCATGACACACTTGAGGTAGCATTTAATGTTTAAGATGCTGTAGCTTCAGTTTCTGATGTGTAAACTTTTGTGCCCTGGGAAGCGATAGCCTCTTATCTTGAGGCTGGAACCCAGTTGGCAGCCCTGGAGCTGTGTGGCTCTGCCATCCTGCAGGGCTCAACCATTTAGGGAGACACTGAGGTGAGGAAATAGTTGACTGTCAGCTGGCTTCAAAGATTATGCATCAGCACCTCAGCCGGCCCTGATACATTGCTCAGAGGCAATCGAAGGGCAAAGGAAATAGCTTAGCCAGCTCTGTGTTTATCAGTATGTGGAGACAGGGCCAGACAGAGGAGGGAATTCCTCTGTATTCAAGGAGAGCCATCCACGTAGTCTTCTACAATGGCGGCGTGTGCCTGTAAGCCCACGACTCAAGAAGCTGAGGCAGGAGGATCACTGCAAATTCGAGGCCAGCCTGAATTACATAGTGAAACCCTGCCTCAAAAGAAAACATGAGAAAAAGAAGAGGAGCAGCCCTATCCTCTGAGGGCTGGCCTGCTCTGATGTCACAGGCTGAACAGACACTGTTTCACAAAGCACCACCATCAGACAGGGCCACCGTGACTGTGGACCTGACCGCTCCCTCAGGTCTTAACACAGAGCAAATGTGAACCTTGTCCAAGCCACCAAAAGGGCCTGCACTGTGGCTAGTGTGAGAGACGCCTGCCGCTGAGCCTGCTGCTGCTTTAGCTACAGCTGTTCCCATCGATTGTTAAGGTCCCCAGTCACAGAAGTGTCCCGCTTACTGACAGCTTGGCATCCAAAGGGAAGACTCACGTCCTTGACCCGCTCGCAACCACCCAAGCCAAGCCCCACCCTCCTAGCAGGTCCTTCCTCACACCCCCTTATTCACGCAGCCCAGGACTCCCTGTGGCACACATCGCCCTGTGGAGGGTCAGTATATCCAATCAGTTAGACCACAGTGGATTCCTCGTGGTCTGTGGTTGGAGGACACTGGCCAAACCAAACAGCTAAACACCCCTGGTGAGCCCACTCTGTTCCCCGCAGCCCCTGCCCCCCAAACCCAATCTACTGACTTTGAAACTTCGGGTGACCATCCATCTGCTGAGTCTTGTGAGATGGGAAGCAAGGGCCCTGCCACAGGCTGGGTCTTCCCTGGCTGTTTGCAGATCCAGTAGAACACAGAGCTGGCGTTAGAGCCCGACTGTCTCTCATTAGCCCTGTGACCTCAGGAGGTCCCTTCACCTCTGCAAGTCTGTTTTCTTTTCCAGAAAATGAGGGTGGGCACATATCTCTGTCATGGAATTGTCTGAGTCCTAAATGCAGTTCCCTAAGGAAGCCACACAGCATTCTAGTTATTTGTTTTCTTTTGAGGTTTGTTTCTGTTTGTTTGGCTTGAGGGTTTTGTTTCGTTTTTTGCATTACTGGGGGTTGAATCTAGGGCCTTTGTACTGAGCCGCATCCCCTTGCCAGCCTTTGTTTTTGTTTTTGTTTTTTTCCTGAGATAGTGTCTTGCTAAGTCAACAAATTGGTTGGATTGGGCTTGAATTTTTGATCCTCCTGCCTCAGCCTCCTGGAGTGAGGCTCGGACTCTAGGAATGTGCCACCATGCCCAGCTAGCATGCCAGCATGTAAACACTCATACACTTTAGCCATTATCGTTACTGCTTAACCCAGTGCCTAGGGCATATCCAACAGTCAGGTGGCAGCAAAGTTCTAGGGATTTTCTTCTGACTCTGCCTCGAGGCAGGAGAATTTGAAGGACCTTTATTCCCTGGCAGGAAAAGAGTTGGTCTCAAAAGTAACTAAGTCCTTCCTGACAGGAGGGATCATAAGGAAAGCTACAGGAATTAAAGATGAAGGTCTTTACCCTCAAGTGTAAGCAAAAAAAAAATGTAAGGAGAAGTCCAACATATGTGCTCAGAATCACACCTCACCTGGCACAGGCACCAGATGATGCTGAAGGTCAAAGCCTCCCTCTGAGCACTGTGACGCATGTGTCACTGTCCGGTGCTCTCTTCACTCAGCAGCATGACCAAGTCCTCTGGTCCTGAGTTGACTCAGCAGTGACCTGTCGGCATCTACCACGTCCAAAGCACAGTGCTCCTCCCACCCCCCCTGCATCCTAACACACAGCCCTCCCCACACCCCTCCTCTTCCCAGCCCAGGGGCCGTTCCTCCGACAGGGGCTGGTCTGTACGCACATTTCCTGGAGGTGTGGCCCTGTTGCTTAGCAACTGTCATATTTCTACTGTGTATTAATGGGTGTTGGGTGCAATCTGAAGCATTGAGCAAATTCACCGTGAGCATGACCAGCCCCTGTGCTCCCTGGGTAGGCGGTGGCGGAGCAGAGAAGGTAGCCCTCCTACCCCCCGCGTTTCCTGTCCTGTCCTGACAAGGAAATGGGTCTCATTCCAGGGATGCAAAACATGCACGACAAAGGCATGACAGTCCAGCCTGACCTCAAAGCTTCTTTTTCCTACGGAGCCCTGGAAAACAACGACAACATATCTGAGATCTATGCCCCTGCCACGCTGCCAGTCATGCAAGAAGAGCACAGCTCCAGAGGCACCCCAGGGGTTCCCTACCGCGTCCTGGAGCACAGCAAGAAAGAATGAGCCACCTCCGAGTGACTGGCTTCTTCCGCACTGTTCAGATCAGGCTGATGGTGGCTCTGACCTTTCACTCCACAACTCGCCTTCCCGTCTTGTTTTTCAGACTGCAAGCTGTATGGAAGCGGACCTTGGAAAGCCTTGGTCTCTGGAAGACCACCACATTCCCTGGGTCTTGGAAATTTCAGATATAGACAGGGGCAGGGTTTGGGTGAAAGCAGAATTCCAGGTGGGCTTGGCCTTGAGAGATTGGAGGCCTTTTCACCTCCTTGGAGACGGTCCCTGGGCCTCACCAGCCAGGGGCCAAAGCCAACGCCACATGCTCAGAGTGAAAGCAAGACAGGTTCCACCTGACTTCAGTCTGGAGTCAGCGAACGCTGGCCTCCCTCCCCCTCGCACACAGGCCTTGTCCCTGCCGCCTCACTTGGGAATCCCTGTTTTTGACAATATCCATGTCCCCCTTTTACACAGCACAGTGGGCCAGCCCCTAACACGCAGTCATTGGCATCTTGGCAGTGCCCCTCTGCCTTCATCCGTGCCCCTCCAATGAAGGTGGATGGTGTGTCCTTTTGTATTTGGTTTGGTTTGGTTTGGTTTCATTTGGTTTTTGAGACAAGGTCTTACTATTTCGTTCAGACCCTCCTTGAACTACTGTAATTTTGGACCATCTCTGAAAACAAACCTGGTTTTAGTTCTCTGGGAACGACCTGACCCCCCGCCCCCCAAGGACCTGGGAAGTTAACAGAAGAAAGAGAAAAAATAAGAGGGATGGGAGCCAGGGTGATGATCCTCGAGCCCATCCAGGAAGAAAAGTCCTTCTTCATCTTCCTGTCCGTCCTTGTAAATCAGAGTCAGGAAATCTGGCTGCTTGATGGGTTCCTTTTTTTCTGCACACAGGCACCCTCTGGGAAGATTGAGGGGCTCACTTTAAAACCAGCCTCTCCTTCCCTTCCATCCCTCCTTTAGAGACCCACAAATCATGGCGGAGCTGCTGGTTCCCTTCCCTGCAGTCGGAGACCATGTGGGTCGTTGGCTGTGAGCACTTCGATGCAGCGAGGCCTGCACACGTGACCCTTCCCCTAGGCCAGTGATGGCGAACCTATGGCACGCGTGCCACAGCTGGCCTTTTATATCACTGAAAGCTCTAAAAGGTTCACCATCGCTGCCCTAGGCCGTCCATTTCTGAGAATGGCAGGAAAGGTTTGCAAACTTTAATAAGCAAGAGGATCCCCTAGGAGTTTATTTAAAATACAGATTCTTATGCCTCCACTGTGGCGACTCAGGGTACGTTAGACTGGGATAGAACCTAAGCATCTGCATTTTTAACTGGCTCCACCAGGGATTCTAGCACTAATAACCCCTCAAACGCCTGCTTGTGGGAAGACGGCCACCAAGGTCCGTAAGGTCCATGTCCCCCTATCAGAAAGTTAGAATTATATTCCATTTCCTCTTGGGATTCTCTGGCAGGTGAAACACCCCTGCAGGATCTGTGGCATTTCTTCATCTAATAAATACCACTTAGAAGTAGCTTACCACCTCACTAGACAGCCTTTAACTAATAGGCAAGATACAGTGTTAACAGACAGTGTTATCTAGCACTTTCCTTACAGGCTACGCACAGTACCGATTCAGGACCCTGACTCCCAAAGCTCTGCCGTCTATTACCTGTGATAAGCACGTCATATTATGTCTTAGCCACTTCTGCATTGTGTCTTACATGCCCAAGAAGGCAACAGACAAGAAGCTTTACCCCTTAGGTTGAGTATCTACTCAGTTCAACAATATTTCTGAGACATTTACTGTGTGTTAAGCACTTAGAGGGCAAAAGCTACAAGCATTTCAGTTCCTGCTGCCCAGGCCAGTGGTGGGGGACACAGATGCAGATATCTCTGGCAAGGTGGGTGGTGACAGGAAGTGACAGTCAGTGGCCCTGAGCCCAAAGGGTGTTCAGAATTGGAGATAGTTTGTGCTCCCCTGACACATGGTGGCAAAGCCAGCTATGATTTGCACAAAGCATAGGCAGGGATAATCCCTGCTCCAGGCAAAGGGGCCAGCACCTCCAAAGACACAGAGATTAGGAGATGGGCTGTCCAGGGAAGAAGAGCCAGGGGAGATGGAGATGAGCCTCAAAAGATGAGCAGTGGAGGCTGAACCCTGCAGTGTTTGAATGCCTGGCAGAGGACGTGTGAGCCTTCGGTGGTTCCTGAGGAGGAGAATGACAGGATCCCCGGTGATTGGAAAGACTGTGCTCACTGCGGAGGAAGAAACGGAGAGGTAAATAAGCCACGTGTCAAGGTGGAGGTCTGAGCCTGAAAGAACAAAACACAAAGTGGAAATTAAAATCAGGTTTCACCGCTGTTTGGACATTCCTCATTTCCCAAGTAGGGTTCGGGGTAGCGTGGACATGACGGTGACAGAAAGTACTTAAACATGTTAAAGCCAGGGGATCAGTAGGAATTTGGGGTGATACTTGTGTGCTTCCAACCTTCCTTGAACCCCCTTCCTGTTTTGTTATGGGCATTGAGCCTTGGGCCAGCCAGCTTTCTGGAGATGAATGGACACACATGTGCTATGACTTTAGATCAGCTCCAGATCAAGGGGACAGTGCCCGCCAGGAACTTCCCTGGGGCCTGGGAACTTCCCCGGACCCTTGGGGCAATGGCATCACCCCTGAAAGCTGACCCACACAGGCTGAGCAGAAAGCAATCCAGTGGTTTCCTGAGTGCAGGCCAGAGCTTGGCCACGTGGGCATTCAGCAAGCACAGTGCTGGCAGAGCTGCTGTCCCCAGAGTTCTGAAGTGTCTGGGGCTCACCGGTCACTGGTTCTGTCCCCAGGTAAAGTCCCCGGATGCACTGATGGCATTACTCATTGGCTGTATACACAACCTGAGGCTTTATTTTCTCGTGGGGCTCCAGCATCCCCACACCTGCCTGATTTCTGCAAGACTCCATCACCTCCCCGGGTAGGAAGCCGGATGCCCAAAACACGGCCATCCACGGCTGTTCTCTGGTCTTCCCTGCCCACCTGCACTTCACCACTTTATTCTGCAGGCTGGGGCTCTGAACGCTCTGCATAGACTGGTGCCTTTGAAGACGGGAGCCCCTCACCCCCTCCCAGCCTGGGGCAGGTCTGCTGACGCCCTCACTCTCAGCTTTAGGTGACGGAGGCTTGCAGGGTGGAGTTGAATGCTAGGGAGGGAAGGGAGGACTGACATCTCCTTTGCGTTTCTAGTGGCAGCCAGTCATCTGGTGGCACCTTGTGGACACAGGAGTCATCTGAGTGACATTAGGGAACCCGCCTTGCAGACTGCTGGATTTCTGGTCCAAAACTGGCCCATGGGCAAAAAGTTGTTTGTGTGTTTCTCGGAGAAGCTATGTAAATGAAGTCACTGTAGAATATATTCTATGTGGATGCTTATATTTTGTTAACTTCATGGCTAATATGGCATGTCTTATTTTTCATAACACATGTACTAGGTGCAAATAACATTATGAAGTGTATTTAATTAAAAAATCCATGCAGTACTTGTTGAGTTGGACTCTTACATTTGGCTAATATTTTCTAGAGTTGTCTCCAAGAAACTGACCTATAGAATTTCCTATGATGCAAGAGTTACCCAGTGTGCCCACCACTCTCTACATGGGGATGTCCAGGTTAACCAAGGAGATGAATTGCTAATTTTCTTAATTTTTATTAATCTAAATCACTATATATAAAGCCAGGTGTAATGGTGCATGCTTGTAATCCCAGCACTCAGGAGGCTGAGGCAGGAGAAGCGCTGTAAGTTGGAGACCAGCCTGATGAGTTCAAGGCAAGCCAGGGCTACAGAGCAAGACCATGTTTCCAAAAAAAAAGAAAAAAATCCCCATATATAGCTAGTGGCTGTTGTGTTAACATTGCAGCTCACAGTACTTCCCAGCTGCCCGAGTGCCGGGATTACAGGCCTATGTGCATCATTAAGCCTGGCTAAAGGGGTTTTCACTGTATAATGAACACTTGGGACTTTTTTTAAAGCAATACTCTGCCTGTGCGCCACTCTTCTCTCTGGGTTTCCAGTTCACAAAGGCAGGTGGTCTCATGTCTACATATTCATACCGCATACACGTGGAGTCAAGTACACTCCTACACTTATTAAGCACTCGATGTATACTACACAGTATATTAAGACCTCATGAACCAGGCTTGTGGCACACACCCATGATCCCACACTTGGGAGGCTGAGGCAGGAAGTATTTCACAAGTTCAAGGCCAACCTGCATTGCAAAACATGACCCTGTTTCAAAAAAAAAAAAAACAAAAAAAACACTCGTGTTTAAGACAAAGTATACATCTCGTTTCTCCTTTATAACAGTTCCCGAAGTAAGCTTTCACCTTATCCCTGTTGTGCAGATGAATAAACTAAGGCACAGGTTGAATAGCTGAACAGCAGACTCCAGCTGGTCTCTCAGCCACACCACCTTTCCAGGGATGTTGGAGTGGGGTTGGGAGGGCATGAGGTCTGCATGCAGTTGGGTAAGAAAGGGGACACAGTCCCAGGAGGCTGGGGATGACAGGTAGAAGTTTTTGCCCTGAAGCTCCAAGGACCACATGTGGATGCTCCTGACTGCTGACCAGACAGGGACTGAGCTCAGCCGGTCACAGAGCTGGAACAGATTTTAGAATCATCCAGGAGTCTCAGTCATTGTTTAATGAAACAGCACAACTCTGTAACATGGAGATTATTTATTCAATTGTTAATTTGTTTTTATGAGTTTTTACTTGCTAGTTTTATGAAACGAGCTTTTAAAATATGACTGGAAAAAAGTTAATGACTGTATTTAAGCTCGTTTTGCTTAGTATGTTTCTTTTAAATGAGTTTTGCTACAAAATAAATTCAGCTTTTGGTTGTCCAAACTAAAAAAGAAAAAAGGCAAGAAGGGAAACAGCATTTAGTGTAAGGGAAACAGTGTGTTTGGGCCCTCAGCACTGTGATCTGTTAGTAGCCTTATTAAATTTCAAAATGCATCTGGCAAAACATCAAAGTTATCCATATAAAATAAATGCAAGGAAGATGGCTATAAATTTGAGGCCAGCCTGGGGTACAAAGTGACTTCAAGGCCAATCTAAACTGCTTAGTGAAACACTATCTCAAAAAAACAAAAACATAAAATAAATAATACAAAATAAAATACATGCAAGCCAAGAAACAGGCACGCACACTGTCAGCTGCAGATAGTCTCTAAGGGTGAAAAGAGTGGCTCGCTGGGGGTGTGACCTGACCAGCATGCCCTGTCTCCTCCCTCCAACTCTAGTCCTCTTCCTGCTCTCTCTGCTCTGGCGATCAGGAAGTGAGCAGCTTTCTAATGCCACGCCCTCCACCTCGGAGCCGGCTGACCATGGATTGAAACAGGGAGCCAAAATTAATCCTAGCTCTTAAATTGTCAGGTATTTTGTCTCAACAGTGAAAAGCTGATTCTGCCCTTTTAAGGAAAATAAAAAGCTTTTATTGATAGAATCCACATAACATTATAATTTACTCATTTAAAGCATATAATTTAGGACCAGGGTTGTAGCCAGAGCACTTGCCTAGCTTTTGCAAAGCATCACAGAAATGAAGTGTGAATTTCAGTGGTTTTTAGTGTAGTCATAGATGCTGCAACTGATACAGGGTAGCAGAAATAAAGATAGGTAGAAAAGAGACAAGGAAAATTATAATTAAGGTCTCTACTCACTGGATTTGTTTATGCTTCTCTTCTTCCAAGTCCATCACACCCCAAATTCCTTCAAAATACTTTATAAATTAGCTTAGTTGATAAAAGGCAGGGGCATCCTCCTGTGAGCCAGCTGGTGCACCCTTCCACCCCAAGCAACCAGCTGATTTAAGAAACACAGGCTGAGATGATAGCCACTGAAGTAAAGAAACAAATTAAGGGCCAGGGATTTAGCTCAGTGGCGGAAGCACCTGCTTGGCAAACAGAAGGTCATGAGTTTGATCCCCCCCCAAAAAAAAGAAAAAAAGAAAGAAACAACTTAATGCTTGTACTGTTGGTCAATTTTGAAGGCCCAAAACTGGTAATCTGAGTATCTATTTAGAGGATAACAGTATGCAATATAGTAACTATGGGGGGTTTCCTACCTCTTGCTTTTGAAATCCAATATTGTTATTTTGTTTTGTTCTGTTTTATTCCCTTTAAAAAAAAAAAAGAGCCAGGCATGATGGCACACTCCTGTAATCCCAGCACTGGGGAGGCTGAGGCAGGAGGAGTATTGCAAGTTTGAGGCCAGCCTGGACTACAAAGTGAACCCAAAGCCAGGCTGAACTGCTTAGCAAGACCCTGTCTCAAAAACACCAAATAAATAAATAATTAAAAAATAAAATAAAGGACAGGAACCTGATATTAAGATAAGGGAACAGACTGACGAGTCCAAAGAATAATTGTATGTAAAAATATTTTAAATTAGCTGGTGTAGTGGCACATGCCTATAATCCCAGCACTTGCAAGGCTAAGGCAAGAGGACTGCTACTAGTTTGAGGCCAACCTGAGCTACACAGCAAAACCTTGCCTCAAAAATGTTTAAAAGATAAAAAGATAAATATTTTGAGCTCCAGAAAATAATGTCTCATTCTCTGAGTGCCCATACTCCTGAGCGTATACTTTTTTCTTCTGAATAAATATTTTTCATGCCTCTTACTGACTAGTCCTGAAGATTCTTCTTTTGTGACAGAAGTCAAAAGACTTGTTCTGTGCGTAGGGCAGGTAGCAGTTATTCCTCTCCTCCGGGAGCCTCTCTAAGTCATGTCCAGTGATGTAACCATCACTGCAGTCAACTTTAGGACATTTTCATCTCAAAAAACAAAAAAGAAAGAAAAGTGACAGGCTCCACTCGTGTGGGACTCTGCCAGGCTCAGTGTGGAGCCTGCCCAACATGGCGCTGACCCCTAAAACAACAGTCTAGCTCTCCTGTACGCGACTGCTGGTCCCCAAACAATAAACTTTCTGTCTCCTTTTTGTGCGTGTGCCAAAGGTCCTCCAGTCACCTCCCGACTCCATCCCTCAAGTAGTCTTGATTCCCTATGTCAAAAAGTCCTACAGTCCTCTCCCAACAAGGTGACCTGTCCACTCCCCCAGGTTTTATCGCCTTTGAGGGCCCTTGCTATCTTCAGCAGCCCTCCCTTGCAGGCAATAAAGGCTTTTTTTGTTGTTGTTAAATCTCTATCTTTGTCTCTCAACTGCACCAAAAAAACTAACAACATCAACAAAAAGAGTAAGTATTGTTGAGGATGTGGAGAAAACATACTCCTGTTGGCAGGGATCAAAATGATGTAGCCACTATGGAAACCAGTATGCTGCTTCTCAGAATTTAAAAGTAGGTATGGTGTGGCGGCGTATGACTGTAATTCCAGCACTCGGGAGGCTGAGGCAGGAGAATCACTGCAAATTTGAGGCCAGCAGGGACTACATAGTGAGTTTAAGGGCAACCTAGACTATGCTATTTTCTAAAACAACAACAAACTGAAAAATAGCATCCCTAGCTGGGTGTAGTGGTGAATGTCATAATCGCAGCTCACTGTGAGGTTAAGGCAAGAGGATTCCAAGTCTGAGCCCAGCTGGGACAATTTTGCAAGACTCTATGTCGAAAAATAAAAAAGGTTGGAGATTAGTTCATTGTGACAGTTCATTCCCAGTACCAACACCATCAATAATAATAATAATAATATGATCCAGGAATTTTGCTTCTGAATTTATACACCAAAATAGTGAAAGCAGATATTTATCCACCATTATTAACAATAACCAAAAGAGAGAAGCAACCCAAGTGTCCATCGGTAGTCTCCATTGATAGATAAATGGATAAACAACATGTGGTATATACATAATGAAATATTATTCTGCTGTAAGAAGGAATAAAATTCGGACACACGCTATAATACAAATGATCCTTGAAGATGCTATGGCTATGAAATAGATCACACACGAGAGGACAGACCGTGCATGATTCCTCTCAGGTGAGGGACCTCAAGGGTCCCATTCCAGGCAGAGTAGAGTGTGGCTGCCAGGGGGGATGGGGAGGTAATAGTTCAGTTCTGCAAGATGAAAGCTTTGGAGCTGGTGGTGGTGACGGGCGCAGGACAGCATGAGTGTGCTTAATGCCGTGAGCTACACTTTTAAATGGTGAATTCTGCCAGGCGTGGTGGTGCATGCCTATAATCCCAGCACTCAGAAGGCTGAGGCAGGAAGATTGCTGCAAATTCAAGGCCAGGCTGGGCTTCATAGTGAGTTCATGGCCAGCCTGAACTGCATAGCAAGACCCTGTGTCAAAAAAAAAAAAAAAAAAAAAAAGGTGAATTTTATGTTATGCATATTTTACAATTTTTAAGAAGAAATCCTGTATCTTTAACTATCTCGCCCCTGTATGTCCTAAATCCCCTATGCTTCCCTCCCAGCTCTGGACAACCACAAATCTATTTCTGGACTCTCATAGATTTCTGTATTCTGGACTTTCACCGGTGTGCATTTGTATAGCAGGAGGACTATTGTGACTTTGTTAGCTTAGCACATTTCCCAGATTCACCCAGGATGCAGTGTGTACTTGATCCCTCCGATGTGTGAGAATCTTTCCAGTACCTAAGGGCACACAATGGCAGCCCTTTGCCTTGTCCCCATCATCCTGGGACAGGTGGCTGCTCTGGCATTGCCACCTCCACAATCTTTTAGGGTCCTTTTAGCAGACCAGGTACCTACTTCGTAACTTCACATCTCGATGGTGGTTGTCTCTGTAGCACTGTCACCGCTCAAATCACGCGTGTGCTTGCAGAGCCCCTGGAATCCCTGGGCCGTTCCCGCAGCCTTGTGAACAAGGGAAGAGGTGCCCATTCCTACAGCGGCTCGTTTCCCATGCTCCATTTGCTCCCTCCTTCCGAGGGTGCTCATCTAGCTTTATTCTCCCCTCACCTGGAACTGTACTAAAGCAGGAAGTAACGTTTCCCAGTGAATTCAGGAATCACGGTCTAACAAGCAGCACCACGGCTGGGAGCTAGCTCAGCGGCACGAGCACCTGCTTGATAAGCATGAAGTTGTGAGTTCAATTCTTAGTACCCAATAAATACATAAAAATAAAGCAGCACCTGCCAGCATGCAGTGTCTCGGGCACCGCCATCCCAGAGACACCAATCTACAGCCTATTCAACAATATCTGAGCTAATGGACAAATGAAACAGACTCATTCTGATTTAAAGAAACACAACAAGGTGAATTGCTACCCAGCCCCCTCCCATGCTATAGAACATACAGGAAGATGTATTTCCTTACCCAACCCTTAAAATTACGCAAGTGTTTAAATTTTTTTAAAATGCAGGCTTCTTTTTTAATAAAAACCAAGTCATTATTGATTGGTGACATTTCGTTGGTCTCACAGTCTTTCAGAAGCTTCCAGAAACATTCAAGCCTCAAACATCATCTCCTGAGGGAGGTGCTACTATTATTTCCACTGAGCTAAGAGGAATTAGGTTTAAAGAATGAGATTTGCTTAGGTAAACAGCTAGTGAGTGCCACACAAGCAGGGTGGAAGCTTACATGTTCTGAAGACTTTTTTTCCTTGACCGTACTGAGGAGGGAAGCCAGGAGCACTTTCTCCCTGAGCTGCATGCTCAGCCCTCTTTATTTATTGAGAGACAGGGTCTCACTCAATTGCCCAGGCTGGCTGCAAACCTGGGATCCCCCACAACATCCTCCTGGATAGCTGGGATTACAGGTGTGCACTGCCCATGAAACGGGCTCGCTGTCTCCATCTCTGAGGCGGGGTGATGGGAGAGAGTGGGAGCAGGAAGGATGCGGTGGAAATTGGTAAAAGTTTTCTGAGAAGTATCTAGAAACGTGTACCCTGACATTTGCTTCTGGAACTACAGTTAAAGTAGTTTCCATTAATAGTTTGTTTTAATTACTTTTCTCTAGTTGCTGAAACAAAATATTGGATACCCAAAGTTAAAGGAGGAAAATTTTATTTAGTTCACAGTTGGTAGAGGTTTTCAGTCCGTAATTTGCTGGCTCCAAGGCAGGGTGGCATGGCAGATGGCCACAGTTCATGGTGACAGAAGCCAGCAAAGGCAACAAGAGCAAGAAGGGGAGGAGCATGGGAGAGCAAGCCTCTTTCCTTCCCTTAGATGGTAGGCAGGCTACCCGCCCTAGGGCAGGTGCAGCACTCACACGGCCAATCCCAGCACTGGACAATGAACCAATCAGAAACTAAATTCAGCCACCTCCAAAAAGCCCACCCACCATGATCACATAAGGCTTTGGGGGGACATCCAGACCCAAACCATAACACAGCCAGATAAGAGAAACAAGAAATAACCTAGAAGTATGTACGTACTATGACATACATTGGGGAAATAATTTAAGATAGAGTGTGACCTCATGCCTTTATATTAAAATAAATTTTCAAGGGATAGCAGTAATAAATAGAAATCCAAATAGAAAAATAGAAGTCAAAAAGAGAAAATGGCAGGGCTGGGGATATTGCTCAGAGGCACAAGTGCCTGTCTGGCAAGCATGAGGGTATAAGTTTGATCCCTGGTACCAAAAAAAGGAAAAAGAAAATGGCTGTCACTGTTAATTAGACTGCAGTAAGTGAAGAGATCACAAAGTAAAAGATCAATACATCATTTTTTAAAGTGTATGAAATGTCAGGCTAGGGATTTAGCTCAGCAGAGTAAGCGCCTGCCTGGCTAGTGCAAGGTCGTGAGTTCGATCCCTGGTACCAAAAAAATATATATAAAATGTCTATTAAAAAAAGAGGAGCACAGGGTGTCTCCATTTCTATGCATCCCCCGAGAAGTCACCCCTTCCTCACGCTCACCTGGGAGATTTTCTCTAGGCTGCCACACATATTCTAAGTCCATAGGGCACGTGTCGGGAGTCCCTTCTAGATGATACTGATGTTAGCATGGATTTCAAGCATTGCTTGGATGGTACAAAAAGTATCCACAAGCAAGTAAAAACTGGATTGCCTTATCTACGTCTTCAAGGTAAGTTTTATTCCTCAAACAACCTTCATGAAGGACTAACCCAATTTTTATTTGTCCTTCGGTTAAAGCAAGATATTCTCAGTGGAAAATTAGATACAGCAGCCAGCAGCTGATGATCTACAAACTGAACTTGCTGGCGATGATCTTGCTGAACGGAGCCCCGAACTTGTCTCTGAGTTCAGGTTTCTGCCGGTTCAGACTGAAGAGACGGAACTAGCTATTTTTGGGAAATGGAAGGAAAGCAGAGGTCAGATACCTGCACAAGCTGAAACCAATTACCTGAACACAGCCAAATGGCCAGCAGTGTATGGGGTTGATGTGCATGCAGTCAAAGTTAGAGATGGGATTGATTATGGGTTAGGACTCCCCAACAGGAGCCCTTATTTTTGAAGGCGAGACCAAAATTGGCTTATATATTTGGCCTCAGATAACCAGATTGGATTTTAAAAAGGATAAATTAACCTTAGTGGTGGTAGAAGGTGAGCAGGGTAGAGAGCAGGAGCAGACATTTGTCTTTAGACTGGATCATCCAAAATCAGGCGACCATTTGTGGAAATGTGCCGTGGAGCATCACGCCTTTTTCCCCCTCGAGGCCCTGCCCAGAAGAGTTCTCATCGCTCAGGATTTATATGACTAGGATCACGATTTAGGTATAGGGGGAAAATGAGTTTCAGACTATGAAAGCTGATAAAGCAAGAAGATCAACAGCCTTCAAAAGAAGACCCAGCAAACGGCATTCTCCCCGAACTGTACAAATGAAATCAAGGACACGAAAACCTGAAGAACTCCGTGTTCAGATGGTGTTTCAACCCAGAATCATGAGTCACAACAGGCTCGGGGTGTAAGATCTGCTGTGTGTATGATCTGTCCACATCCTCCAGTCCCGTGCTGGTGGAAATAGAGAATCTCCCTTGGAGTTCTGAGACGGATCAGTGCGACAGGAAATGGCTCTCTGCTGCCAGGGACTGCTGCCAACAAGGTGGAGGCCAGTGGAACATGAGGCCCAGATCGCAGAGAAACTACCCAGCCTGCATCATGAGCACTGTGTGATAAGTGTGGGGTGCTTATTCTCCTGGTCACGCAGCCGTGACTGAACTGTGAGTGTTAAGCCTTTTAGGCCGTGGGGTACTTGTCATCCAGGTGATGGGTACCTTATCTGGTGCTTATAAAAAGATCGATCACATGAGGAGTATTTGGGAGGGTTTGTGTTCTACTGAGTCACAAGTTTTCTAGCGCTGTTTCGGACTGGATTCTTCCGTGGAAAGGAAGAGAAGCCCTGCACCATCCTTGACAAGGACAGCTGTGGCCATGGTGGAGAGTGTGTGTGTGTGTGCCACTGAGACTCTGGAGAGGGTTTTCACAATTTTAGCCTGTTAATAAATGACTCAGAATATCTCCTAGTTTGTGCTTGGCTGACAACCTGCCACGTGCTCTCCATATACAGCGAGATTTAAGGAATCTTAACGTTAAAAGCCCATCCAGAAGGAAGCATGATCAATCATGATGTATCAGGCTTTTTATAGTATTTTATGATGATGTTCTTACACGCATTTAATTTCTTAAAGTGGCTAATTCCTTAATTTTAGTGAAGTGCCTTGTATTTTAATTCATAGAAATTTTAATATACTTTTACGAGTAGCAGGCCCAAGAGACTGTTAGCAGGTTAATTTTAAGACATTTCAAGGAAAGGAACCAGCTGTGAGACAGATCTCATAGGAGGACTGAAATGTGTGGCAGATCATGAATTTCAATGTCCAGCAGCACACCCTGATTAATGGGAGGCAGGGAGAGAGAGAGAGAGAGAGAGAGAGAGAGAGAGAGAGGCAAGTGGGTCTGTGGAGTGAACACAGGCTGACCCCCAGCTTCTCCTCACTTCCCCGTTATACCCTCTCGTGAGCTGACCTCTCTCATAATCCAGAGCTGCTGTGTTTGCTCCCTTCCACTTTTGCTGAGTGCTATCTACTAGAACCAGACACAGTTAAACAAAGTTCTGGGAACTTATCAGTGAACAGACCAGATGTTCTCGGTGGAGACTTGGGCACTAACCCAGTAATTTCACAATTATTCTCTTAATCTCAACTGTGACAGAGGCTATAAAGAAGAATTTCAGGATCACTCCCCAGGGTATATAAGTTGGGGTTATGTTTGGCTGCAATGGATACCTCACAAGTTACAAGGATATTTCTCTCCTGAGTAAACGCAGCCCAGGGCTGGTGTGGAAGCTTTAGTGTCACAAGGGATTCAGGCTCTTCATCTTTTTGATCCACCATCCCAACATGTGGCTGCCATCTTTTAAATTACCTCTGGGCCCAAAATGGCTGCCAAAACTCCAGCCATTATATTGACAATTCAGGGTAGAGAAAGGAGGAACAGCAAAAGGTAATGAGTATGCCTCTTAATTAAGATAGCTTTCTTTTTGCTCATGTATCACTGGGTAAAAATAAAATTTTACTTGTTTTTTGTTTTTATTTTTGTTATTTTTCAGACAGGGTCTTGCTGTGTAGTTTAAGCTGGACTTGAGTTCACTTTGTAGCCCAGGCTGGTTTCGAACTTGTGATGATCCTCCTGCACCAGCCTCCCAAGTGCTGGGATTACAGGAGTGTGCCATCATTCCCAGCAAGTTTTACTTGTAAATTGATTATAATCCAATTAACGTTTATTGAGCACCACTAATATGTCTGGTAAAAAGCAACCCTACAAGGCATATATTATCAATTGCATGTAACAGATGAAGGCTTAAAAAGTTTAAATTTATCTCAAATTCACAGTTAGTGGTAGAGCTGACTCTGTAAAGCCTGTTCTCTTTTCCCTGCATTTTGCTGCCTTCCTCCACCAACAAAACTAATGAAATAAGAAAAAAAGCCTGATGCTTATCTTCTTGAACTTTACTTAAAACGAATCCAGTACATCTGTACTCTCTTGGTATAGATGCTTCTTTTGTGCAATAAAATTTTTAAGATGTGTCTATGTTGTTATGTTTATATCAGCAGTTCATTCTTTGTTGTTTGAATATGCCTTAGTTTGCCACGTGCAGTGGTGCATGCCTGTAACCTTGGCACTCTGGTAGGCTGAGGCAAGAGATTTCCTAGTTCAAGTCCAGCCTGGGTAACTTAGTGGTTTGGTGAAACATTGTCTTGAAATAAAGATATTTTTTAAAAAGGGCTGCAGTGTAGTTCAGTGTGAAAGCCCTGGGCACAATACCCAATATCAAAAGGGGTAGGAGAGACTATAGCATAGTTTGTCAATCTTTGGCTGATGGATACTTTGGCTATTTCCAATTTGGGGAGATTATACATAAAGTTGTCAAGAGGGTTTTTGGATAAGACTTTTTTCAGTGGATCTTTGCTGAATTCCTCTTGCACATATATCTAGGAGTGGAATTTCTGGGTCACAGGTTAGGGTGGCTTGATAAACCCAGTTTCCAAAAACACCTTCTTCATGCCTTCTGCCCTCCACCAGCACTGTGTGAGTGAGCCTGCCACCCTCGGGCACCTGTATGACTGCCACCTGCAAACCTAGTAAGGACTTGCAGAATATTGACTGTTAAATCCACTCCAAGAAGAAATCTGAAATGAAATTGCCCGTCTGGAAACTTTCCTGCTTGGCAGGAGCCGAGCGGCTCCGGATCTGCAGTGTCATCTGAGGCGTACTGCTCGAGTTTTCCAGGTCAGCACCGCCCTTATGGACCTTGGCACGGGTTTCAATGGACCGGCCACCAGGGATCACTTTCACGCTCTCTTTCTGTCTGCCTGAAACTCAAGCCTCACGGGGCTGGAGAGAGAGAGGGAGTGCTGGACATGTGAGACCCTGTCGAGTTCATTCATAACAGGCATGTGTTACACGCTGTGCGCCCCTCACCTTGCTGGCCAGGACGGTAGAGAAGGAGGGTGTGGGAGACTCCACTTCTGTTCTCCAGTGCTGGAGTCGCTCATATGATAGCTGGACAGAGACGAGACAGCGATGCTTCCCTTGCCCGCAGGTAACGACTCGTGCCATTCTGGACTCAGCTCTTGGCCTTTCTGTGTTCTATTTGCCCCCTGCCTGGTCACCTCGTGTAAATCCATGGGTTCCAGCGGCCACCTTGCTTCCCTCCCAAGTCACATGCAGGCTCCACACATATGGTTTCCACCCATCTATGAATTCTCTGTTGCTCAAAATGTATGTATAACTCATTTATCAGTTTTCAATAGAAGCAGAATCCTTCTCTCTCTCTCTCTCCATTTCTTCCTCCATAGCTCCAGGGCCACAGTCCTCTCTGTCTGTCAGACCTCTCCCAAGCCCATACCACAATCTCATTGCAATCAGCTGTCCCTTTTCATTTTCCTCTCAAGCCGTGGGGAATTTGAATTTCCTAGGATGGAGTTAGCCGCCGGGGCTCCAGCAGGTGGCTCCTGCTCGGAGGGTTTGATAAAGATGACACAAAAGTGGGAGGAGGATTGGCAGGAAGCCTGCGGATGGCAGCAGAGGGGAGCCGCTGCCACTCCCGGGGCAGGAGAGGGGAGAGTGCACCAGGCCCAGGAGGGAGGACCCCTATGGGGAGGCAAAGGTGTTTGGCTAGGAAGGGAGAAGTCAGAGGACCAAAACCCCTACCGCACCCTCCAACGTCGGATCCCTTTCCACGTTTTTTGTTTGCGTTTTGTGGTTCTTTGTTTGTGTCGCTGTACCGCTGAGCTACATGCATACCCGGTCCTCTCTGATGTTTACTGAGACAGGGTTCCGACGCCTGCCATGGTGTGACTCCCACTGTAAGCCAGGGGACAAGGGTCCCGGGCAGCCGTGCACACTGGCATCCTCCCGAGGCTCAATCAGGCCGACAGAGCGGCAGGAAGGCGCCTTTCCCGCCTGCTGGTGGCCTCTGCGCCCCTGAAAGCGGGACCGTAATCCCGGCTCGCCGGGAGCGGGCGGGCGCCGGGGACACAGCAGCGGCGCCTGGCGGCCCGAGGCCGGTGGCGTTTGTCCTGACCTGTTAGGCGTCCCGGCGACTGTGCTGCGGCCTGCAGGACGCGGGGAGAACCTGTTTCTGCGCACGGGGGAGCACGATAAGGTCGTCCAAGGGCTTACTTTTCGGGGGTACCTAAGGCCAGCCCCCCACCTCGGGGCGGCCGCTCAGGACGTCACAGGCGGGGCCCAGGGCTCCGGAGGCGCGGGCGGGGCGCGCGTGGAGAGAACCGGGCCTGCGCGCCCCCGCCGCGCGCGCCCCCGCCCCGGCCTGGGCGCCTGCGCCGCGCGCCCGCAGGAGCCGAGCGGGAGCCGGAGCGGGAGGCGGCGACGAGGAGCGCGCGCCCCGGCCTCGCTCGGCCTAGCGCCGCCCGCGTCCCCGCCGAGCCGGCCGCTCCCGCCGGCGTCGAGGGCGTGGCGGCGGCGACAGCGACCCGGCCCGGCCCCGGCCAGAGTCTGCGCCCCAGGCCGCGCTCGCCCCGCGCGCCGGGCCAGCCGCGGAGACGCAGGTGAGTCGCCCTGCAGGGTGGGGCCCGCAGCAGGCGTGGGGCGCGGGGCCCCGAAAGTTGCGAAGGAAGAAGTGGCAGCTGCCGCCCCGAGGGGCCCGGGGGCCCTGAGATGCTGCGGCCCTGCCTCCCCCCCAGTCTAGCGCCCTCCGCCCAGGGAGTCCCCGCCCCCAGGGAGCCCCGGCTGGGCCGCGGTGCAAGGGCGGCTCGGGGTGCAAGACCCTCGCCGCCTCCCTCGACCTGCCCGTGGCGTTTCCAATTCCGACTTAACAAACTTACCTGTCTCTGACCGTCTGCTGCCTGGACAGGTGAGCAGTCAACATGGTCTCTTTCTAGGTTGCTTCGCTGTAACTTCCATGCAGAAATCTCTTCGTGCCTTTTAGAGATTAGGATACTAGCACGGGGAGCATAAACTAGGATGAGTCAACCTAATGCTGCTCAAAGCCAATATATTCCTTTTCCCTTAGTGAGCGCTACCTACTATATACAACATTTATTTAAACTTTTCATAGGCGGCTGTACATTTCACAGAAGTCTGTGATGTGCTGTTTGGCAAGAAAGGGAACAGATTTATCTGTAGCCGTGATTACATATGATTTAAGATATCTTGAGACCGTCAGTAGCTCTGGTTCAGTATGTTACACTGTGAAAATATAATGTTAAGAGTCAGGGTGTAGGTGTTTATGTGTTACACGAATTACTTTGTTTTAGTGGGGAATTTTATATTGATATTCTAGAACTGGATTTTGGATGCAGAGAAACTGAAAAGCTGGAAAACTAGGCGCCTCTGTAGCCATGTCATCAGCTTTACATTTTAATCAGCAAACCATTTCCTAGGCAAGAGGTTTCTGTGTGTTCAGGGGAAAACAAGATTGTTCCCTGCTGTTGAAGTGTAGCATGTGTAAAGCTTTAAAACGTGTGAACATCAGAGTGGCAGATGGGAAGCAGTTTTGAATGATGGCAGTGGCATTGTTGATCTAAAGAAAAAGGAAAACGTCATGAAAAATGATGTGACTGAGACATCTGTTAGGCTGAAGCGTGCGGAATATTGGAGGCTCCAAGTTCAGTGCCATCCATTTGTTACTTAGCTCTCCTTCCCCCCAGCACCACGCAAGGTGGAGATCAGACAGGACCTCCGCTTTCTTTGCTCCTGGGATGTCGTTTTCTGGAGGGGAAATGAACTACAGTAGGACAAACAACATCGGTTCTTTATAGCCCTGTATATTTCAATTATTCTTTAAAGCCTGTTCTTTTCGCGGGTGCTGACAGTTCATTGTTATTATTTTCATTATCTCTGACATGCTAACGAACACTACGCTGCCTGGTGGAACAGGAACCTCAATAATTAAAAAGGACCAATTCTAAATTATCTGTGAAAACAAGACATAGGTCAGGAATACCTACAAAATATCAAAAAAAAAAAAAAACCCTTTATTTTTGTGTTGTGCTGTTAGGAGTGCAGGATCTTGCCCGTCCCCAGTAAGTGTTCTACCCCTTAGTTACACCACAGCCCATAATTTTCATATATTTTACTTTATTGCTGCCCCCCCAGCTTTTTTTTTTTTTTACGACAGCTGCAAAAAAATTCTACCTGTAAGGGGTAAATGATTTTAAAATCAGAAGGTAGAAGCTTCATGATAGACACTCAGAACCTCTAACAGTGTCGATCCTGAGTGATTTTTTTTAAAAGCTCAGTCTAAAATACAGTATGAAATGAAATACACACTTATTTCCAGTATGATGGCATTTTGAGCATGTCAAGAAAATTAAAAAGTGCATCTGACTAAGGTATTAAAATGCTCCCAAGTATATTATTTAGGTGTTTTCAAAATCCTAGAGGAGAATTTACCTTGTCCTTATTAGAGCTGAATATGGATATTGACTCCACGTGCCTACATTTTGCCTGGATGGATTGCTCCTGTCACAGGCTTGTTGTAGCCGAGCAGATGGTCATGCTTCTTGGAGTTTTTCCACTCATTTGATGTTTCCATGAAGAAACAACTTGCCAGAAGCCAGCCAGCTTCAGCTACAGTTGCGCTGGAGGTGAGGCTGGGCCCTGGTGAGCCCAGACCTTCACTTACAGAAGCAGGGTGATAGGGGTTCAGTGCTTCCTGCTAGGCCAATAACGGTTCCTGGGGTTGGTAAATAGGGGAGAGCTTCATTTCCTAACAGTGTGGCACAAGCTCCAGTAATGCCTGCAGAGAGCCGAGTTTACCTGCTAAGTCACAGCCAAGCTGTCTGCTGTGATCTCTTTGTGTATTTCTCATTCTTGTCAACTTTAACTGCAATTATGATGTCAGAAAATAATGAAGTGGTTGACAAAGTTGACTTTAGCTATATCCAAAAAATTCTCTCAACTTTTGAATGACAGTGATATCATAAGTATTTGCACGATGATTTGAGATTCTATAAGACCCATAAAAGGACACGATGCCCTTCTCCAACTTTTAAAACAAAAAAATATCTGTAAATGTTTTCATACCAGGCCCAGATGACCACCTGTGTTGGTTGTCAGGGATTCACTTTATTGATAAGTTCGCTACTAAATAGTTTTCTTGAAATGCTACAAAGCGTTGTGGGGTTTTGTTGTTGTTGCCTTTAGATGGTAGGAATTAGATCATTGGGGATGTATCCTTTTTTTCCACTTTATGATTTGACTATCACTTCCACCAGTAGGTCTGATACTACTAAGATTATTTTAACCCAACAATGTGTTAACATAGACTGTGCCTCTGTTAAAATAAAATGTTAGCATTGACTATATGCAAAAAATTACTCTGAGCACTTAGTATGCATTGTCTTATCTGAGTCTCCTAATCTTATTGGGTAAGGATTATCATTATCTCCATTTTGTATTAGAGGAAACAAAACAGAGAAGCAATTTACCTAACATAGAGTATTGGGGAGCCAGACATCAGATCTAGAAAGGCTGGTTCAGAGTCTGAGTAGCTCTCTCTGAGCCATACTTAAGGTCTGCTAGGATTTGTTGTCATCACCATGGTATACTAGTGATTAATCATTTTCTGGTATCTAGAAATGGGTAAGAAAATGAATTAATGCTACAATCCAAAGATTATTAAAATATTTGGGACCAAGCAGAAACAAAGTAATAGTAATCTAAAAACTCTGAAGGAAAAATAGCTTATAGGACATTATAGGAATAACCGACAAAATTTGAATGTAGACTAAACTAGGCACAGTTTTATGTCAATGCTAAATTTCCTCTTTTGGGTTCCATGGGTTACGTAAGAAAGCAATATTGTTCTTACATACTGAAAGTACTTTTGGAGTAAAAGGAGATCATATATATATATTTATATAACATATAGTCAATGTTATATGACATATATATATATATACATCTTATTTTAAATGATTCTGAGCATGTGTATAAAAATAGAATAATAAACAGGCAAAATTGTTAACTCTTGGCAAAAGATATTCAGGAGTTCCTTGTTCTATTCTTACAACTTATTTGAAGTTATATCAAAAGAAAAAAATACCCAGAATGGAAGGTAGAAAACAGGAAATGAAGGCATGATATTCTAAGAATTTTGTTTTTAAATCAGGTGAAGGAGTGTTTCCTATGTTCGGGTTAGGAGAAAGAACTTGAAACAAACAAGCAAAAAATCTTATCAAGAAGCTGAGGGTGTAGCTTAGGGGGAAGGCAGACTCAGTATGCACAGCCTTGGGTTCAATCCCCAGCACTAAAAATAAACCTCCAAAAATCTCATCAAAAATAGGCTGAGTTTCTTAGATTTCAAAATCTCGCACCCTCCAGAAAAACTGGACATTATTTTCGCTCTTTTTCATGGGTTGGGAGTGGGGCAGATAATAACATCAGTGTCTCTAAGAGATGCGATGTCATACATTTGATGACACCACCATTGGTTGGGTCTATCGGTTCCCTGCCCCAAAGCCTTTAGTAGCACGCTGATATTGCCCAATTCTTATGCAAAACTCTGCAGCCCCACTTGCAGGAAGCCTGGCCCACCGGTGTCTTCCTGACTTTGGCTCCTGCCACCCTCTCCAGACAGTTTCCTGTGGCCACACGAGAGCCGCTGGCCTTAGTGCATGCTCATCTGTCTTCCTGACGTGGCTCATGCACTGGTGACTTTCCCTGGAATGCTCTGCACTCTTTTCCTGCCGGAGCACAGCTCACCCTTGAAAGTCTCATCATGACCTGCTTTGGGAAGCTGTCTAATCCCAGGCGGAACTGAATCTCCCTTTGCCCACGCTGACCTGTGAGGGAATCACAGCGCTGTCTGCTTTTTGTCAGTAGTCCTTATTAAGCAACCGCGAACTGGAAACTATGCCAGGGATTCAAAGAAAAGAGGATTCAAAGGAACCCACAGTGTGGTAGCCAGGAGTGATTTATAAACAAATAGCCGTAATATAAATAGAGGACAGAGAAATAAGCAAAGGGCTGTGAGAGCCCCACACTCTGCCCGACAGCTTAATGTTGGAGAAGAGTTTGTAATGAGAGCCACAATGAGACCCATCCCCTGCGGCCTCCGCCCTCCCAAGGCCCCCTTCTGATTGGTGATTTCTAGCACAGTGATCTAAGGGGAGGAATCAGTTAAAAACAACTGTAGGACCCAAGTAAATCAAGGTTCAGTAACATGCTAAAACCCAAGCCTGGAGCTCAGAAGTGAGGGGCTGTGTACACCTTTGACAGTGGCCTATGGATCAGTGGTTTTCAGTGTGTGTAGGCGAGGGAGACCTGTGGGCACCTGTGAGTCTCTTGGGGGACTTGGTATGTTTTCTAGAGTCTTGCCTGAGACTCCGAGGCTGCACTCCTCCTTCCCGCACAGCTTTGGGGCCATCCTTCCTGACTCAGGAACCACGTGGCTCCAGTGTGAATCAAAGCACTCAGAAGACTACGATGAGAAAAGCAGGGTGGGGCTGTAACCTCAGAGAGACTTGTCAAGCAGGACCAAGACTGAGGAGGACAAGGCAGGGCACCAGAAGTCTGGGGATGAGGCAGGCGGGTGACCAGGTCATGTGCTGCCGAGCCAGGCCGGGTCTGAAACAAGGTGCCAACTATCAGAGACCTTCGCCGTCCAGAATGAGCACAGTTGGAGCTAAGGGACAGTGGCAGAAATCCAGCTGGACTGCACTTAGGAGTGTCTGGCATTGAGGAAGTGAACACAATAGACACAGATTACTCTTTCCAAGAAGTTGGCAGGAAAGGTGAAGGGGAGAAATAAAATGGAAACTAACAGATTAGCACATATCGAAGGAGCAGTAGTGATGATCACTTCATGTTTTTGTGCCTCATAGGTTTTTCTTGATATCCGTGTCCGCATCTCAAAAGTTGTCGTGTCTATGGGACTCTGCTTGGTGGGCGTGGGGTGCAGCTCCCTGATGGAGCCAGACAGGCACATACAGTTCCCAAACACAGACTGTGTCCTGGTGTTTAACAGAGGGGCCCTGGCAGCTCCAGGCCCCCCCGCTTAAAATTGGTGATGTTTAAACATTTTGGAAAAAGACATCTTTTGGATTGCTTCTATGTTTAATTTTGCAACTGTAAATATTTCTAATACATGCTCACAGAAATTGACTTTATAGAGAATTTTGCTTCTGAGTAATTTAATTCTTTGGAGGCAATTATTCGAAAAGAAAAATCTTGGATGAGAAAGACGGAGTGCATAGCAGACCATATTTCAGGGTGCAGATGGTGAGTGGATCTGTGTGGGTTTGATTCTGCTTTGCCAGTTCCAGTGTTTTAGACCTAAAACCCAAAACAAATATGTGAAAGCAGTTCTAGTCCACATTTTCCATCCAACTGCTTGTAAACTAGTATACACATTGGTGTGATCTCGCTTTACCCTTTCTTTCCCAGTTTTACTAGGAAACTCTTATGTTCTTCTTGATACATCATTACCTTGCAAAACACACTAAGCAATTAAATTCCTCTATATGGAATTCATTTATGAGTACTGAAATGACTTGATTTAAATGCTGATTGATCTTTCCTGGCTAAAATTGCTTTGCTTGATGAATTGCTGTCTGGAGAAACTGATTAATTGGAATGCTATGCGGTCTATGGAGTTTTATCTAGGTATTCTTTTTGTTTTAACAGCAGGAGCCTGGTAGACATCCTAGTATTTTCAAAACGGAAAAGACCGGCTTGTAGGGGACAATGCTAAGGGACAGGATGAAATCTTGGAATGACAGCCAGTCAGATCTCTGTAGCAGTGATCAAGAAGAGGAAGAAGAGATGGTTTTTGGTGAAAATGAAGATGATTTGGAAGAGATGATGGATTTAAGTGATCTGCCTACCTCCCTTTTTGCTTGCAGTGTCCACGAAGCAGTATTTGAAGTCCAGGAACAGAAGGTAGGCCCTCGACCTGCCCATGTCCACTCTGTGGGATCCATGTGCATTGGGGAAACTAGAGCGTCACAGGTCCCTGACAAATGAAATACAGGAAGCAGGGGTCAATTGTAGACCTCTTCACGTATTTGAAAAGTATCCCTGTGCAGCAGGGGGAAGTATCTAAAATATTTCCACATATGTTTTGAGAAGCACTGGTTTTTAGTGAATTCTCAATTAAGTCTCATTTATTAAATCTCCTCGTTCATTTATTCATTGGTTACTGAAGAGTATAACAGGAAACACTCATGACCTTTAGCCTGGCTGCTTCTTCCTTGGGAGTCACCAAGAAGGAGCCAGAACTCTCCTGGGGCTGATTCTATAGCGCCTCTTGGGCCTGTTTCTGATTTCATCCTAACGGCATTGTGTTTTTCCCTGTGACATTTCTTGTGTTTTATAACTTGATTGGGGAAAATTAACTGAATTAATTGTCATTAAAGCTTAATCTCCTTCAGTTCACTTATTATTTACATTGATGCCTCGGTTCACAAACTTAATCCTTTCCACAATTCTGGCCAAAAACTGAATTGGACAAAAACTGAAGCAAATTTCTCCACTAGCTCAACATTGAAGTTAACTGTTGAATTTGATTTGGTTCTCATCCAATTTGATTTGTGGCCACAAATGTGGAAAGAATTAAGTTCATGAACTGAGGTATACCACTGTACCTGGCAAGACAGCTTTTAGTGTGTGTGTGTGTCTGTCTGTCTGTCTGTCTGTGTCTGTGCCCGTTGTCCCGCGTAACTTCACAAAAATGGATAAGCTCTAAAAATATTCCCGCCTCTTACACATTTTTCTGCCACGTACACATTTTTCGTGTTCTGAAACTTTCTCTCAAAGTGCATCCCTGGCCCTTCGGTTTGTATCCGTGTGCCCAGTCTTTCCTTCCAGTGACTGTGCGGAGCAGAGCTAGGTAGTGCCTCACTGTGTGAGACACTCGGTCGCTGCAGGGCCCAGAGTGTGAGCTGTGCAGCGTCTGCCGCACACAGGTTGACTTCCAGGTGTGACACAAGATGGGATCTCACCGCCTTTAGAAGCGCTTGGAAGTGCACTAAGGCATCAAAGGAGATGGCTCGAAGCTGGGTGGGACAGGAGAGCTCATGAGGACGTGGTGTGCCCTGGGGTTGGAGAAATATTCTACAGGGAAAGGAAAGGGAATTTTGGCCAGAGGGAACAGAACGTGTGTGAGAGCACGGTCAGGGGACTGTGGGTCATGCCAGGATGGCGCTTCCTGGGGGAGAGATGCCCCCGTGCAGAGCACTCTGGGATATGGTGTGGAAGCAGGTACACTGTTCTGCGCAAGGGGGCACCAGCCAGAACTGCGCAGTGCAGGATCCGATGACGGATAAAGGACAGAGGCGAGCCCAGAGCCGAGGCTGAGAGGCCGACCCTGGGGTGCAGGAGAGAGGAACCGTGCCCTAGGTTTTATGTCTTCCATGGTTGTTTTCTGTTCCTTTCCCAAGTTCAGTCACAACTTAGAAATTCTGAAATCTTCCTCGTGTTCACACATCTTTAGGAGCCCTAAAATTTCATGTTATAAATGGTGACATTAACCTTATTATTGGTGATTGTAAGAAACCACATGAATGACTTTCAGCCTTTGTATTGGAGAGCGATCAAAATATTTTTTAAAAATTGCATCTGTGCCGAATATGTGCTTTGCAGACTTTTTCCTTGTCATTATTTCCTGAGCAGTGCAGTGTAACTATTTACAGACGCTCACATTGGCTTAGGTGGTGTAAGTCACCTGGAAATGACTGAAGTGTACATAGAATCTTACGCATCTGAGGAGTTTGGTGTCTGAGGGGTCCTTGGACAGATTTATCTTCAAGTTATAAGAATTCTTTCAAGAGACCTCACAGCCTTAAATCTATTTTAACTTTTTCTTTTTAACTACCATCCAAGGAATGAGTTCTTTTTGACTGTCTGTCTGTATGTCTGTCTCTCTTTCCCTGGTCAAAGGGATAAGTTCTTAATGATTCTTTTTTTTTTTTTTTCTTTTGAGACAGGATCTCGCTCTGCAGTTCTGGTTGGTTTTGAACTTACCATGTAGCCCAGACTAGTGTCAAATTAAGAGTGATCCTTCTGCTTCAGCCTCCTGAGTGCTGGAATTGTAGGCATGCGCATCAACACCTTGTTGATTTTCATTTTAAAAATAATCTGAGGGTTCTCTCTAACCCAGATTTATACTGGAAATCATCTCAGTAGAAATTTTCATAGCAGCAATTCAATGGAAGCCACATTGTCTGCAATGCTTAGTCACAATGAGTTTTATATAACTACTTCACAGAAATATTTGAAGTTGTACACTGCATCCCGCACAACTCTCAAAGTTCCCAGGGAGGGAGGGGAAGGATGGATGGCAAGAGATTGGAGAAATAATACGAGACAGAAAGCTGAGGTCAGGAGGAGTCCTCCTCTGGATGGGAGGAGGAGAACTGTTCGCCCACTGAAGTGCATTTATTTATATGTTTGGCGGGTTGGTGTCACGTGACACCCCCTTTGCCTAGCAACCTGTTGCTTGGATTGTCTCGGGGGCTGGTGTTCTCTGGACTGAAGCCGCTTGTTCACGTGGCTTGCCTTGAGCACTCTGTTCTTAGACGGGCTTTCCTCGCCCCTGTATGTGTGATCAATTTCCAGCTTCTGCTGTTCCCTACAGTTGTATATATCGTCAATTGGATATGAAATTTGTGCAGAATTCAGTGTTTCCTTTACGGTTTTCTACTCCCTTCTCTTGGAGTCACCTATTCAAACAGGCCATCAGGTTGTGTGCAAGGCCAAGCACTTCTGATGAATTTTAGGCAGATTAGTGCAGTTAGTCACTTAATTTTTGAAAAGAAAATATTTTACTGACCTGAATGGATTTTTGTCTTTATAGCTACCTCATTGTTGAAACAAACTTGTACACTCCTCTGAATAGGGTACAAAATGTAACAGAGGGACCATTATCATGTAAAGGTAAATCTTCATTTATATTGCTAAGTTTTAACTGTGTTTTCATCAGTGTTTCTTTTGGTTTTTTGTTTTTGTTTGTTTGTTTTGGTACCAGAGATAGAACTCAGGACCTCACCTTTGTCAAGCAGGCACTTATGCTGCTGAGCTAAATCCCTGGCCCTGTTTTTGTTTTTCGAGACAAGGTCTCGCCATGATGTAGTTCAGGTGGCCATCAACTCACTGTGTAGCCCAGGCTGGCTTCATACTCACAGTGACCCTCCTGCCTCAGCCTCCCAAGTGCTGGGATTCCAGGTATGTGCTACCACTCCCAAAGCCTGGCTCATCAATGTTTTTTTAATAGCATGTTATATGAGGGAAGAGGGCAATAAACCCAAAGAAAATGAGCCATAAAAAATAAACTGAGGAAAAGGCTTATCTCTTCACTTGTATTTACTCAGCAGCAGGGAGCTAGTTTTCATCATATGCTTAGCTAATCAATAACCCCATCAAGAGTACTGGAAGGTTAGTACTTCATTTTCCTTTAGCATGCTTGAGTTTGTCCTAGTATGACTGTATTTGCTTGTTTGATATTTTTAGCCAATTTCTCCTTTCTTAAAATAAAGGATAATTATACTTGCTACTGACTCGAACCTGAGGAGTTTTCAAAATCTAATTTAGATGTTCATAATGTGTGGCTTAGGTCTGTGTGTCTGAACTCCATGAATGTTAACGCCATGATCGGGGACTGACCGAGACAGGTGGAATGTAGTGTGTCGTTACTGTCCCTACCGACCGGCTCACCGTGGCATGTTTGATTTGAGTGTCTTTTTCATGGTGGGTGTACTAAGACATCACTGCCTCATCTTGTGGTCTTGCTTTTGGTCAAGGACACTGCATCTACTGAGTCTTTGGTGCAGAGAAATACCTGTTAAATGTTTGCTAAATGACTGGATTCAGGGTAATGCTTGTTGAGGATTATTAGCAATTATCAGGATTATCAGTGCTGTAACTGAGAAACAGAATTCCAAGCACAAGTAGGTTAAGTACCAAGTTAGAGCTTTAACCTGTCATTCTGCGGCCAGATACATCGACCCACACACATTCTTTTGTGGTCTATGTAGTCATACACACTGTTTAAATTTTTCTATCAAGACTTTGATTCTGTACCCTACAGTTAAAGAAGAAATGGAAAATACAGTTTATGAAAAGCAAACGATAGCTGAAAGTTAGCCAGATGAGCTGATCTTCTGTTTTTCAGAATAAAGCAGTCTTTGGGTATCCGCCACAGTCATTACCACAGAAGTAGAATCCTTTGAGGAAAGTGATGTGTTTTAAATCTGGGGATTTTAAAAAGATACTCAAAAGAAGAAAGTTTCTATTACAGTGACCTGTGTTTTTAAAGAGCCTGGGACATCTAAGACTTCAGTAAATGTTTATTTAATTGAATCTATAATGCTCTTGTGGCTAAGATTAGTAAGATTTAGTTAGCTTCAAGGCCAGATTAAATACTAGAAAATCACAGAAGTTTAGAGCTAGAAGAAATCCTAGTCAGGTCTGTTTTATGCAGCAGGCTCACAGTGTCCACTGCTTTCAAACTCATTTTGTTGCAAAAAAAAAAAAGGCAAAAGAAAATACAAATAAGTGGAAAGATGTCCTGTGTGTGGTCTGGGAAACTTGATGTGGTTGTATCTGTAGGAAATTTGCTGCAGGACCCTCATGAATTCCAAACTCCACAGATGTTCAAGTCTCTTACATAAAGTGGTCTAGTGTTTGGATAAAACCTTTGCACATCCTCCTGCATATTTTAAGTTATCTCTAGAGTATTTGCAGATATAAGCACTTGTCAGTGTAAGTCCAGCCTGGCACAGTGGCACACGCCTGTCATCTCACTAGTCTGGGAGTCTGAGGCAAGAGGATTTCAACTTCAAGGCCAGCTTGGACAGTTTAGCAAGACCTTGTCTCAAAAAGAAAAATAAAGAGCAAGAGATACAGCAAAGTGTGAAGGCCCTGAATTCGCTCCCCGGGACTAT